TTCCTAATGTATCTACTTCAAACTTCATATATATGTTTCTTATTATCACTCAACATTTTTGAGAAGGTTAAATACTCTAGCAAGACTATTTCCAGAATTATCTCCCCCTTGAACTTAGATTTTTTTTCGAGAAATTGGTATTTTTCACTCCAACTTCTTCATTCCTTATAGGATTTACTTTAAAATCCCACATCATAATAATATGACAAGGTTGTATAAACAGAATTTCCTTACTAGGCAGGGAAACTTAACACATTACTGTGATATAGACAAACTTAATACTCAAAAGATTTAAGTTCATTCATGTCATTCATCCACTGGTAAAATTGAATGGCCAATGGCCCATCAGAATGCTGCTGGGGTTCTAACCGGTAGGGGACTTATGGATTGCTTGCAATACTATGATAATTGCTTGTTTATTTAATCATGGCACTTTGTTTTTTTTCCTTATACAGAATATAATTATAGTGAACACTTCCTCTGTGGCAATTCCTCCTACATTATTCATGTTTTACATTGCACATAGTTACATTGTTTGTTGCTTGTATTTGTATTTCAAATACAACATATTTATCTACAATGGTGATAATTGAAAACCTGGTTTCATGGCATTGCCATATGTTTCTTGTTGAATGGTAGTATGATTTCAGCTCATTATCTTGAAAGATGATTATCACAAAGTCTTCATATTTCATAGCGATTGGTCATAACCAACAGATGATCCGTATTGCTTTAGGGGTCACTAGATCAAAGGTCAAGGTTACAGGGGCTTTAATTGTGAGAATGGTTTCCGCTGATTATCTTGAAAACTATTTATCCCAAAGTCTTCATATTTCACATACTGATTGGTCATAACTAGTTAGTAACCCCTATTGATTTTTGGGTCACTAGGTCAAAGGTCAAGGTAACAGGGTTCTTGAATGTTAGTATGGTTTCCGCTCATTATCTTGAAAGCTATTTATCACAAAATCTTCATATTTCTAATATTGATTGGTCATAACTATTAGATGACCCCTATTGATTTTGGGTCACCAGGTCAAAGGTCAAAGTCACAGGGGCCTTTTCTTCAAAAAGCTTGTCCACCCAATAACTAAAGATTCCTTTGACCCACAGTCTAGGTCACAGGGACCTTAAATGTCTCATTATCTTGAAAACTATTTATCACAAAGTCTTCATTATTTTTCTTTTTATCCATACTTGAACTTTTCCATGTACCCATTTATGGCAAGATCTCTTACAAAATTACCAATATTGTGAGTCAAGGGCTAGAAAGGGGATATATGTGTCGTTCGACATTTTTTGCTTTTCTTTTTTCCATAATTGAACACTTCCATGTACCCATTTATGGCAAGTTTCTCTAACAAAAGTACCAATAATGTGAGTCAAGGGCTAAGAAGCTAATAAGTTTGATTTACTCCAAATTTGATACTTACTGTCCTCCATTTGATCTGTTAGTGTAAAACTTTTCCATGGTATTTTTATACCCCGCACAACAAAGTTATAAGAGGGGTATACTGGAATCAGCTTGTCCGTCCGGCCGTCCGCCGGTTTTTTCTTGTCCGCCCAATAACTAAAGATTCCTTTGACCCACAGTCTTCATATTTGGCATGGAGGTTAGTCATGGTAAGTAGATGACCCCTATTGATTTTAAGGTTACCAGGTCAAAGGTCAAGGTCACAGGTTCCTTGACTTCAAAAAGCTTGTCCGCCCAATAACTTAAGATTCCTTTGACCCACAGTCTTCATATTTGGCATGGAGGTTAGTCATGATAAGTAGATGACCCCTATTGACTTTGAGGTCACCACGTCAAAGGTCAAAGTCACAGGGGCCTTGACTTCAAAAAGCTTGTCCGCCCAATAACTAAAGATTCCTTTGACCCACAGTCTTCATATTTGGCATGGAGGTTAGTCATGATTAGTAGATGACCCCTATTGATTTGAGGTCACCAGGTCAAAGGTCAAGGTCACTGGGGCCTTGATTTCAAAAAGCTTGTCTGCCCAATAACTTAGATTCCTTTGACCCACAGTCTTTATATTTGGCATGAGGGTTAGTCATGATTAGTAGATGACCCCTATTGATTTTGAGGTCACCAGGTCAAAGGTCAATGTCACAGGGGCCTTGACTTCAAAAAGCTTGTCCGCCCAATAATTTAAGATTCCTTTGACCCACAGTCTTAATATTTGGCATGGAGGTTAGTCATGATTAGTAGATGACCCCTATTGATTTTGAGGTTGCAAGATCAAAGGTCAAGGTCACAGGGGCCTTGACTTCAAAAAGCTTGTCTGCCCAATAACTTAAGATTCCTTTGACCCACAGTCTTTATATTTGGCATGGAGGGTTAGTCATGATTAGTAGATGACCCCTATTGATTTTGAGGTCACCCTGTCAAAGGCCAAGGTCACAGGGGCCTTGACTTCAAAAAGCTTGTCCGCCAAATAACTTAAGATTCCTTTGACCCACAGTCTTAATATTTGGCATGGAGGTTAGTCATGTTTAGTAGATGATCCCTATTGATTTTGAGGTCACCAGGTCAAGGTCACAGGGGCCTTGACTATAAAAAGCTTGTCCGCCCAATAACTTTAGATTCCTTTGACACACAGTCTTCATATTTGGCATGGAGGTTAGTCATGATTAGTAGATGATCCCTATTGATTTTGAGGTCAAAGGTCAAGGTAACAGGGGCATTGACTATAAAAAGCTTCTCTGTTAATAACTTTAGATTCCTTTGACCCAGTCTTCATATTTGGCATGGAGGTTAGTCATGATTAGTAGATGACCCCTTTTGATACCAGAGTATTCCCGACGGACACACCTATACCCGCGGACACTCGGTCAGACCCCCTAACCATCCCACCATATGGGGTTCTGCGTAATTGAGTCTGGTCCCCACAGGGGCCAGCCGGAATTGGCCAGTTATGAGCTGTGTAGTGCGATTTTCGGCTCAACGTCGGCAAAATACCAGAGTATTCCCGACGGACACACCTATATCCGCGGACACCCGGTCAGACCCCTAACCATCCCACCATATGGGGTTCTGCGTAATTGAGTCTGGTACCCACAGGGGCCAGCCGGAATTGCCCAGATATGAGCTGTGTAGTACGATTTTCGGCTCAACGTCGGCAAAATACCAGAGTATTCCCGACGGACACACCTATAATCGCGGACACCCGGTCAGACCCCCTAACCATCTCACCCTAGGGGTTCTGCGTAATTGAGTCTGGTCCCCACAGAGGCCAGCCGGAATTTGCCAGATATGAGCTGTGTAGTACGATTCTTGGCTCAACGTCGGCAAAATACCAGAGTATTCCCGACGGACACACCTATACCCGCGAACACCCGGACACACCATGGTCGACGCTCATTTTAAGTCCCTGGCGGGATTCCTTTCTCTATCGTCACAATAAGTAATCACCAGAAAAATGAGCCAATCAATGGGCATGTTCTAGAGTGCGGGTTTTTTATACCTACACTCTAGTTAATGCACTATACATGTATATGTTTAGGATTTAACACATTTTCAACAGAAAGGTCCCAAACTATGATACAATGTGTTTATAGACCATATGTATCTTTATTATAATAATAATAATGGCCATCAGTAACATTCAACCATAAACCTGCTAAATTTCTTAAATTGCCTAGTCCCGCTTCATAATCATTTTAGTGGTATGAAGATGCAGGAAACTAATGGCAACAAGGTTAATCGCACGTTTAGGGTTAAAATTGCCTGAGTATACAATATTTATGTTTTACTTGATAATAATTTTCTAAGTTGTCAGAAAAAATATTAATGTTAAGCCATAATTATAAAGATACATATTGCATGAAAATCTAGCAGGTTGTTTTTATCTTTAAACAATATTTGCAAAGACTGAGCTATTCCGATTACCACCCACATATTAATTAGTAATTTAAGCTACAATATTGTACTTCAATAACTTATTAATTTTGCGTGATCTTTTGTTTGAAGAGAATAAATATGTACCAACTGATTTTATTGGATTAAAGTGCATTTTAAATTCTGTTCAAATATCTGAAATCGCTGTATATGAGCATGGACTTGATTTTATTGTACACCAAAATTGCAACGGTAATTTGGTGTAAAAAGAGTTATGTTCATATTTTTTTTAAAGTATTGCATTGTTTAGTATTATGGAATCTGTCCAGCAACCATTCTTTGAAGATATAAATTCGTCTATAATAGTACTTTCAACATCGAATCATACTAGTATTTGCCAATAACCTGACATACACTAGCAAACTTTCGATTTTTGAAGTACTGGTATTCGTGCATTGAATCGTTTATACCGTACATTGTATATTTTCTAATCGATTGTTTATGCATGGTGAAATTGAAAAGAAGCATTTTAGAAATGAAATAAATGGCTAACCAGTGTTATATCTGAACAATTATCTGTAAATAATTGGCATGACTGCATGGATCATAGAAATATTAAACTCAAAGTTGATTCATAATATTGATCTAAGAGGTCAAACACTGTACTTAATCATAGAATAGATAGATAATTTGTATAAAGATTATTTGCCAAGTTTATAGGTGTGTGTCATTGAGCCAGTTGTATGATGATATGAAATAACCATTGTTATATTGTATACAAAATGTAATCGTGATGTATTCTTAATACATTGTATTTGAATTATATAAAAATAAAATGAGCCTTGAAATATTGATTAAAAGTGTTTCACTTTTTATTTCTAAGGAGAAAAATTGGTCTCAGCGAACAAAATTACCACCAAAGAACACAAATCTGATAACATTTTGTCAAAAAAGCCAGACCTTTCAAGGGCTATAAATTATAAAGCTGTGGTTCATACAATTCCTATAGGAATTCCATTGTCATAAACTATTTAATTGTTTTATAATACCATCGTTATTCCAATATGGTATTGTTTTATATCATTTGTTAAATACCTAAAGACTTCATGCACAAAAGATTACTTAAAGATTTCATGATTGTCTGGCTATAAACCATCTTGTTAAAGTATAGTGTACGGATATTATTAATGTTAACTAATTAAAGATGTCAATAGCAGATGTATGGATTTGTTATTTACTTTATTTACATGAAAAGACTCGTGATACATACTTTTTCTTTTATAATATATATATGTTTAAATAATTAATTGATTTTATTTTATATTGAAAATAAAGATAACATGACATATCTGTAAGAAATTCTATCCAAAATCATCACATGGTCATGTAATATTAGCATTTTTAACGCAAAATGAAAAACGGAGATAATGTTAAGGAAGGAACTAATCCGGCAGATTCAGATTTAGTAAAGATGTATTCAGTAGAAGATCCACCAGATGGAGGTATTCGCGCTTGGCTTGTTGTAGCATCGTGTTCAGCAATTAACTTACTGATAGGAATATTGGAACCTGGTGTAGTTCTAGCTTTGTTAAGGTCCAAGGATGATACAGGAATAAATGAGGAAACGCTCGTAGAGATGTACAACGTTTATAATAGCCTTGCAGGAGTTTATGGTGAGTGGTTTATTGAAACAAAAGCTATACAAAATGAACTATTGTTATAATATAGAAACCTTTAGATTGCAACTATTTTCACTGATAACTAAAATGAGGCTTTGGTATTAATTTTGCATAATCTATTAAATGTTTCAAAAAGTTTATGCAACCTTTTGTAATTCTATAAAAGCTATTTTTTATGCCTTTTTTAAATTTTATATATAGTTATAATACATATATATTTATTTTTTCATATCTCCTTATTAATATCTTAGGTCTACCCATGTATATATTTTGCTTTTATATATTTCAGCACCTATAGCATCTGTTTCTATGCTTGTACTAGGATATAAGTGGACCGTTCATATAGGTTCATGGTGCTTAGCTGTTTCATTTATTATACTGTCGTTCGTCAAAAATGTTCATGCCATAAAATTTCTACTTTACGTTATGACAGGTTAGTAAAATTGTAAAAATGATTCCCTATATATAATCAAAGCTTATCCGAAAGTTTAAGATTAAGTTAAATACTAGAGACCTTTAGAACATGTATCTAATGGTATGAAGCATATATAAATATTGCATGATTATTACATATAACGCCATCAATTCGTCTCTTATACATGACAAATGTTCATCATATTCAAATGCACTATTTTAATAAACTACTCACGCATTATGTTTTCACATATATTTTTTCTCCATATTTATTTAGGTATCGGTTCGAGTTTAGTTCAGCTTGGTTCTTTAATTCCCATTTTGGAGTACTTTACCTCAAAGAGAATACTTGCACTGATGATCACTAAAGTTTGTAGATACTGTGGACAGTTTATTACACTAAGTATTGTTTTATCTGGTGAAAAAACAACATGGCAGTCATTATATAGGTAAAGATTCGCTCTTTCTGGTTTCCATCCAAAATTTATGCTTCATTTTTTTTAAATAAATTAATAAATAAAATTGTACCCTTAACAATTGTTTTTATAATTGTTTGGAACAATTCATTGGAAGCTTGAGGGAATACAAAAGCTGACCTACAAACAGTACAGAATCTAGTCAGACTGCACGAACTTGCAGGACTGGCCTTGCTCTATACTCATGGCAAAGGCTGGTCGCTTTAGATCCAAGCAAGTTAACGGTCTGTAAAAATTTGTACAACTCTCATTCACCAAACTGTTTGTAAATCATGCTCTACTGTTATTTTACAGAATTTGTATGGGAGTGAGCATTCCTATCGGGGTAATTGGGCTTACAATACCTACTCTGTTATCAAACCTGAAGACAACGTCGACATCCTTCATCGATAGAGTTCATAATTATTTGAAAGTGTTCAAAAATATCTTGCTTTGGATAGTGTGTACTCTCTTTTTCATTTACCAAATTGGTAAGTTATAAACACTCGCTGGTATATTTTACAACGATTTTTACAGTTCTATATTTGAAAATAGTAAGCATACGTTTTAAAGATCAATAGTTTTAATAATATGGATTAACATAAGTCTTAAAAGTCAAATAGTCTGCACGTTTTACAGGTATCATAACAAATAATAGTTGTTTTCTTTTCTATTGTATTCCAGGCGTCGTCCCTCCACAAGTAGAGGTTTTGGACGTTCGCATGTCTGAACGATTAGGTATTGAATCCGAAGTTAAAACTACAGTATACAGTTTATCTTCAGGCATTGGTTTAATGATTGGTGCAGTACTTGGCTGGCTATTTAAATTTTCCGTTAACAGAAAATTCTACAGGTATTCCCAACAAGACTCTACCCTTAACCTTGCTTTAAATTAGAACAATCCATTTAAAGTAAAAGGATTAAATAACAAAATGTAAAAATTGAGCTAGCAACAGTATAGAGCAGGTCAAAACAGTAGTGCAGGTTGTTCTGGCTGATGGCAAAGGCGGATTTCTTTGGCTGCTAGCAGGTTAAGGGAGGAATCATGCTTTTAGTTTTTTTTGTTTTTGTTTTTTTGTTTGTTGTTGTTTTTTTTTTTGGTTTTTTTTTTTTGTTTTTTTTTGGTTTGTAAATAGCGTATTGTGTCAAAGATAGTTATCTCATCTGTTTGATACATGTAGGTTATCGCTATTTATCTTTTATTTGTTTTATTAAATCAGAGAGCTTTCAAAGTTAAAACTGACATAAAATAATAAACGTAATTATTTTTGACAAACACACATATGCATGTATTTTCAAGGCATTGCAATCATATTATAAGTAAATATTTACTAATATCACAAATCGTCATTTACTATAATATTGCAGTTGTGTGAAACAGAAACCAACCACGAAGGAAATGTTTCATATTGTCATGGTGTTAATGGTTGGCATACCAGTACTCATGGCGATTATGTGTTTTATAGCGCCAGAATCTCCAAATTTTCCCTACTTTTTCATATTTGTGATATTATTCTTCGCACATCTAGGTGAGTTTTGTTTGTGATTTCACTTCGACCAATTGCTGCCAATATCATATGGTTTAAGATTTTTCAATCGCAAATTATCACTTACACATAGTCAATGCAACTCTTGTATGCTCGTTTAGGGCACACGCATTCTTTTACTTGGGGATCATACGTCGTTTTTCATGGAATGGCAATACCGTGTCTCACTGCATGAAGTTTCCATGATAACCGCCGTATGAACACATCTGTGAATGTTTCTTAATTCTAAATTTCACCATTTTCGTGTTTAACTTAAGTCGGTGCTAGTGGCGTGGATTATAGTTTGCACTTGACATACCGTCCATAAACGGGCTCAATCAAACCGAGCCTGCGAAATTTCAATTTTGCCGTTTTGGACTTTCTTTAGGAATTCTTATTATCTCTATTCTATTTGTGCTGTTTAAATAAGGAATTTAAAGGGATTTAAATATCGTTTAAATCTTTGCTATAAGATTATTTCCAAAATGAAAGTTTATATTCATACCAGATTTAATATTGAATTGTTGTTAACATTATTTATTTTGTTTTACATCTTTAAAGTTATTTAGTTTGGCAAGTATTTGGTTAGTTAAAACAACCTACAGGAATAGCAACCTCGAATGCTTGATGATAACTGCCATATTAACACATATGTTGATTTATTTATATTTTTAAATTCTAAAACACCATTTATTTTTAAAATGTCAAGTATTTTTTAAACCGGTGCAAGCAAACAGACGCGAAAGCATGTATGCATCAGTAGGTTCCTGAACATGCTCAATCAAAATGAGCTAGTTATGACGTTAACTTTATCAATTCTATACTTTTGATCGGATATAATAGACTGAAAGGTCCCAAAATTTATTATACATGTATGAGTTATGCAATAAGTCTATAAAATAAGCTCAAGTATGTAAAACACAACAGTAGATAAAAAAAAATATGAACGGTAAATTATTGTAAGGCGATTGTTTATAGTGTAGGATAACACTGTCAGGTTTCCAAGACAACTGAAAAAATATACAAACTTGAAAGCGAATTTATAGCATCGTAGGAATATTTATCCCATATGATGTCCAATTAAAGTTGCAGGTCATGTAATATTTCGCTAAAGTAATTATTTGTACTCCAATTGAAGTGTTTGAGCTATTTTTAGCATTTATAGAAGAGCTGCGGGATGATATGTTACCGGACGTATTTGGTCAAGTAAATGTGAAGTTGGTAGAAGGACTCATACAGATGTTTGTAGGAATAGGGGGAGTCGTCTCAAGTGAAAGTGCAGGTTTGTGTAGCAATGTTATATCAATGTAATGTAATGATAGATGAAGTCGAAGTCTTATTGAACTTTTTTAAGATTGCAACAAATGAAATTGTATCAACATTTAGTTTTACAAACTGTACTTTCCTTTTAGTTAGTGATGTTAATAAGAACCAAAGGTGCTAGTGGCATTGATTTGACCTAAAATGTGTTTAACCTTGTTATTTATGCACTAAAACATCAATATATTAAAAAAAAAAAAAAAAAAAAAAAAATAGTTTTTTTTCACTGTTATATTATTATAGACTATAATAATATAACAGTGAAATTTTTTTTTTTTTTTTAATATATTGATGTTTTAGCGCATAAATAACAAGGTTAAACACATTTTAGGTCAAATCAATGCCACTAGCACCTTTGTTAAGAACCAGTACTAGTTTCACATACACGATAAATTAATAAGATTACTTACCATTGCTTAATAGAGCAGCAGATATGAAATTAAGGCCAAGATTTATAATTCTTGATTAAACGATATTTTAAGAGACAAAATGTAAAGTACGTATTATCAAAACTATAATTGTTACGTAACTGTTCCGTACAGGAGAGTTACAACAATCTAATATTATTGCGTTTAATTCTTAACTTAAAATTTCTTCTCTTAAAAACCGAAAGAGCTAGAGCTGAGATATTTTGCATGAAGCATCTTCTAGTAAGTGTCTACCAAGTTTCTTCAAATAAAAGCCTTAGGGTTAAAATTGGCTCCGCCCCGGGGGTCATTGATTTTCCTTATATGTATATGGTAAAATTTTAAAAAAAATCTTCTTTAAAAACCCAAAGAGCTAGAGCTGAGATATTTTGCATGAAGCATCTTCAAATGGGTGTCTACCAAGTTTGTTCAAATAAAAGCCCAAGGGACAAAATTGGCCCCGCCCCGGGGGTCATTGATTTTCCTTATATGTCTTTGGTAAAAACTTTAAAAATCTTATATTAAAACCCAAAGAGCTAGAACTTAGATATTAAGCATGACATATCTTCTAGTAAGTGTCTACCAAGTTTGTTCAAATAAAACCCCTGGGGTCAAATTGGCCCCACCAGGGGGGGGGGGGGTCATTGTTTCTCCCTTTATGTGTATAGTAAAAACTTTTAAAAAAATCTTCTTTTAAAAACCCTAAAGAGCTAGAGCTTAGATATTTATCATGAAACATCTTCTAATTAGTGTATACCAAGTTTGTTCTAATAAAAGCACTTGGGTTAAAATCGGCCCCGCCTGGGTGGGCCTATATACAGGTGAGCGATTTCAGGGCCACCATGGCTCTCTCTCTCTCTCTTTTTTGTTTGTTGTTTTTTTTTTCTTAAAATTTGTAATTATGATTTGACACTAAGTATATGTACATCCTGTCGATTTCCAAGCATGCAAATGGCAGATTATCATTTAAATGATTTTTCTTAATTTATTCACCTTTTCTAGATTTCTTTTTTTGCCAATACATGCCGTAATAAAAATATAAAAGTGACTAGAGAGTCATTTTGTTAAGGTTCTTAAATAATTCTCTATATTTTCATTTCAGCTGAACTACAATGGAAGAATTCTTTCCGTATGGGTGGTGGACTACTCTTAGTTTCATCCGCTGTTGCAATCGGCATTTTACTTCTAAAATTATCTGGTGCAATCTGTGTAATGAAGGTTACTCCTATAAACTTGGAAAATACAGAAAACTCGTGCCAGGGTACGGGACGTTCATCGTGTTTAAGTCAGTCAGAAACATCAGATGAAAACATTACACAATCCACCGTTGAGGCGACGATGGCTGCACAAATATCAACTCCAGACGTTCTACAAGCGTTCAATTTCAAATATAAATCAAAAACATCTTATGGGCCATCAAATATGAAATTTGTAATACCACGTAAAAATAACATGTATGGAAGTCGGGAGACGAGCGTTACAAGTAGTAATGAATCTGTTGAAAGTGTCTCAACAGACACTAGTGATCTGAAGCATAAACTGACGCATGCAACAGGTCGCACCTTATATACAGATTTACAAGCGTCTAGGAGCCCAGATTCGTATAGAATGGTTCCAAGTGACCGAAACATGCGCATAGAAGGTGGCAATATAAAACCGTCTCAATATAATATGATATATTCTTATAATATAACTCATAGCACGGAAGGTGATATGAACAATATTGATCTGTTGTAGCATATGTTAAATGTTTTAGTTAGACAAACCGCGTCATTCTGTTTACATTAAACAACATAAGTCATAACCGATTTTTTTACATTTTAAGTAATTTAATTCAGTTTTAGTTCCGCATACACAATAGCCCAGCTTTGCATTTGAAACGATCCAAAGGGTTGAAGGAATTTCAATATCAAAGTACATAATTGCGCTACCAACGTTTATTAATATATAGCAGGTTCAGACTTTACCACAGACGCTCGGGGGCCGGGTCATATCCTGCCCCCAACGTCATACGTTCCTGTAAACACTTTACACGTATATCAAACATATTTTAATATCTAAACACGAATAGGACATCTGTTATAACGATAAAACTTGTTTTCAAACAATTTTTACATATATGAAAAGCATACGGTATACCATCAAGACTAGTGTCAATAAAGTTGTTTATCGGTGGCAGCAGATTGAAGGTTAACAATTGACCCTTTGCTTTCCGGTGAACATGGTTGTATTCGGTAAGAAGAATGGCACTTGACTTTTGAGCAGTTAGTTTTATAATATGTTTACAAACTAGGGCTATAATTAACAGACCATCAAAATCTCGCGGGTTCGTTAATCGGATACAGATCGCCTGCTCTTGTATCGTCAGATTCGCAAACTTTTGAAATTTTATTCTTAAAGTAATTATTTGATAAATTACAATATTAAAAACATATCTTAAACAATATCTGCATAATCAATAGTATTCATTTGAGTTTATTGTTATTTGTAGCAAATATATGATACATGTATGTCCAAAGCTAGCAGTATCTCAGTTTAATGATTTAATTAATGATTTAATTATGAAAATGAAAAAGCACATCCTGATTTTTCATTACACAAAATGTAATTTTGGCATTAAATATCCTCTTAATGATTCAATTTTAAATTTGTGAATCTGTATTATATCTACTAGTCTGTGGGTCATGTATTTCATATTAAATAAAAGTGAGATATGCAATATATATTACTGTTTGTCAATATATATGAAGTTGTTTTGCAAATCGATACGTGTTTCGCGAAACATCGTCTCGCATCTTGCCTGGTAACAGCCCATTTACAAACTGGATAAAAATTTAAAACAATGTCACCTCTTGTTACACTTTTAAATGCTGATGTTTGTTTCCAATCATTTATCTTATAGATAGAGCCAATGAAATTTACAAAATCGTATAATTTAAATTAAAAAAGGTGTTAACATTCAAGCAAGAGGTGGGAGATATTTGATGAAGGCGTGTTTTCTCGCCGTCTTCATTATTATGTCTGTATTGATTTTACAATAACGAGAACTTTTTGAAAGTTATAACAAATTATACATAAGCCATAGAATAGGGGCGGTTCGGGTGGGGATGGAAGGTGGAAAGAATGACAGACTTGTATGAAAATGTTAACTAATGGTTACTTGACGCGTTCCATCAACATCTGGATCAAATAAAAATATATATAGTGAGGATATAAACATACACGACTGTCAACAGAGGAACGAGGAAAGAGGAGCAGTGAGAAAAGAAAATATGAAGTTTTTAGAATGCTTATTGGTAAGTACTTAGTTCTTTTCTATTTTCTTTTAGTGGATTGAAAGCATACTTTTATTTAATCAAAGGTAAGCTGAGAATAATTCAATAACAGGAAATAATATAATAAATAATTCAAATTAAAACTAATGTATAAAATACTCATGTTATTTAATTTTACTGTTGTATTACGGGCGCGAAGTTTGCAGTAATATATGGTGGCATGAACGGGACATAGAAAAACTTATATAATTACTACGTGCGATACTAAGTAAATATCTTAAATAGGGGAATAATATGATTTAATTTGCTCTCTGAATTGATAATCGCATTGATATTTTTCATTCATTGGTAACTAACAGTCTTCTAGCAGTGTATTTATTTTTATTATATTTTTTCATTATTGATTCTGTTACTTTACAAGTATATAATATAAGTGACCAATACATATATATTATCTTTTTTTCATTCTGATAAATATGTAATGATTTTGATCATTGGTATGGTTTTCATCTATTTACGTTGATGTGATACCAAAATACCAAAGATGAATTTAACGTGGTATTGTTTACTGCTATCATTATAACATTTTTTCCATGCCATAACTAAAACAAATGAAATTTGATACAAAAGTTTTGACCAGCACGAATAGAACAAAGTGTATTAAAATGTGTACGAAGCACAGGCGTGCCTGTGCTTAAAATATGGAGTATTTCGCATTAAACGTTAACTTCGAAAAGTGAATACTGCGATTACTTTGTATTTAATCAAATATTTAAAAAAGACCCTATTTCAGGGGAAGTAACTAGTACAATGACCATGCCTGTTATATGATTTACTTAATATCAAGTGCCAGGAACCTGTGAGATGGTTATTTTTCTGTATTCCACCTTCATTTAAATACCATAAAGTATTTTCAGAGTATTCAAAGTCTTTTGGAAGGAGATTATAGCAAGAAAAACAATATTACAGCCACATTTAATGTCCCAAAATGAATTTTACAGGAAACCAGACCCCATTTATTCTGGCATACACCTAAAAAGTGCAGTAAAGATACCACTGTTGACTTATATGACATTATATACATTTGTAACAATTAAAAGTGCTCAATTATGCATTATTATGTCAATTTGCACAATATAAAACTGTTAAATCTGGAGAAATGTGCACATTCTGTGAAGTACAGTGTTTGCCAAAATTCCAAATTTTTATTACCTCCCTTGACTTGACAGTCTACTTACTCTACATAACTTGATAAATCCTACCAGTCACTTCAAATTTTGACTAACAAATGTAGAAGGAATGTTTATGGGCACATTTGGGTCAATTCCAACACATTTTATAAATTTGAAAATTTCCTTAAGGGGGCGGACCTAAAAATGAAAAATTTTTGTATTTCAGTGTGACCAGAAACACAATTCAAAACATTTCAAAATATGTTACAAAGGCAGATAACCAATTGCATGGCATTATTTAAGATTATATGACATTCATGGAAGAAAATAATAGTTTGCATGCATTGCTCCTAGAAATAATGACTGACGGCAATTTATATTTACCCCGTCAAATATAGGCAATCTTCATGAAGGTGTAGCATACTTCAGAATTCGCCCGATTCCTTTCAAAATATCACAAACACAAAGTGCAATCAATGGCATTTTCAAAAATGACCAATAAAGTGTCTGTCATACGTTTAGATTTTTCACAAAATTTATCTGAAATTTCTTACTTGTTTGGTGCCAACTGTCAAAGCTTGATTTTTAACTTTTACACCTCCATTCGGAGAGTCAGAAATACATACAAAGCTACCAAAATGCTTAGTTTCGGGTAAAAACCCAAAAATATATCTCATTTCCTACACACAAACAAGAAAGAATTACAATGACAGAGAAATATCAGAAGTTCTCAGTACCTTCAAAACACCATGTCTGAGTTATTAAAAAATTTGACCGGGGCCATCATTCGAATATGTCCCCTGCCCCCCTATATCATATAGTGGTAAGCTGACTCTATATAAAGACAATTCTACATAATGTAGTGTTGTTTTGACTCTATATAAGAATGATTCCACATAATATATTCGTAATTGCACATCATATAATGAAAGACTGCATGGCATCATATAAGGACAAATTCACATCATATATTGTTAAGTTGACTCTATATAAGGATGAGTCCACATAATATATTCATTAATCAATGCACATCGTATAATGAAAGACTGACATCATATAAGCACATGCTGACATCATATAATGTTAAGTTGACTCTATATAAAGACGGTTCCACATAATATATTCATTAATGCACATCGTATAATGAAAGACTGACATCATATAAGGACATGTTGACATCATATAATGTTAAGTTGACTCTATATAAAGACGGTTCCACATAATATATTCATTAATGCACATCGTATAATGAAAGACTGACATCATATAAGGACATGTTGACATCATATAATGTTAAGTTGACTCTATATAAAGACGGTTCCACATAATATATTCATTAATGCACATCGTATAATGAAAGACTGACATCATATAAGGACATGTTGACATCATATAATGTTAATTTGACTCTATATAAAGATGGTTTCACATAATATATTCATTAATGCACATCGTATAATGAAAGACTGACATCATATAAGCACATGCTGACATCATATAATGTTAAGTTGACTCTATATAAAGATGGTTTCACATAATATATTCATTAATGCACATCGTATATTGAAAGACTGACATCATATAAGGACATGTTGACATCATATAATGTTAAGTTGACTCTATATAAAGACGGTTCCACATAATATATTCATTAATGCACATCATATAATGAAAGACTGACATCATATAAGGACATGTTGACATCATGTAATGTTAAGTTGACTCTATATAAAGATGGTTCCACATAATAATTATATTCATTAATGCACATCGTATAATGAAAGACTGACATCATATAAGGACATGTTGACATCATATAATGTTAAGTTGACTCTATATAAAGACGGTTATACATAATATAATGTTGTTTTGACTCTATATAAGAATGGTTCCACATAATATATTCGTAATTGCACATCATAGAATGAAAGACTGACATCATATAAGGACATATTGACATAATATATTGTTATTATGACTCTATATAAGGATGGTTTCACATAATATACTAAAAAATGCACATCGTATAATGATAGATTGACATCATATAAGGACGTGTTGACATCATATAATGCTGACTCTATATAAGAATTATTCCACATAATATATTCATAACTTCACATCATATAATGGCAGACTGACATCATATAAGGACAGATTGACATTATATATTGTTATTTTGACCTTATATAAGGATGGCTCTACATAATATATTCAAAAATGCACAACGTATAATGATGGATTGACATCATATAAAAACACGTTGACATCATATATTGTTCAGTTGACTACATATAAAGATGGATCCACATAATATATTAATGAGTGCACATTGTATAAGGAAAGGTTGACTCAATATATTGCTATATGGACATAACAACATTTAGGTTTATAATTATAAGACAGTTAAGGCTTTCCATACATTTTCATGTTTTTGCCTGATGCCCCTGATGCAAAATACAAATCAGCCTTCATAAAATTTCTTATCATCATGATCATAGAAAAAAGGTTAGTTTTTTATCTGTATAAAAAATAGATATTGTACATGTATTAGTACAGTTATGTTTACTTTCGAATTGACCTGTTATAAATAATGGCAAAACCAATAACTGTCTAAGCCCTTTTTAGTAAAAATAATGATACAATATATAAATTGTTATTTTGATTAAGACTATGAGTATGTAAGGTTTTTTTCTTATTTGTTTAATTAAGAATTAATCTACTTGTTAATTTAAAATTCTAAAAGTATCTGTCACGGTTTAGAACTGTTAACAATTTAGGGGAGATAATGTGTAAGCGGCCAGATAGCTCTATCACTACAGCCACGGTACATTATTCTGTGGGTCACAGGTTTGAGTTCTGGTCAAGCTGAAAGTTACTCTCATCCTATGACTGCATATAACCCTGAGTTTAATTCACTATGCTCTGTAAACATCAGAAATTTAAGGACACAAATCAATATAGTGGGAAATATGTTGTGGTTTATAACTGTTTCATTATTAAAGAGAAAATGTGTAGCCGGCCTGATAGCTCAGTTGGTCTTCTGACAGTCATGGGTTCGAGTCATGGTCAGGCAGTTTCAGTCAGGGTTTAGAAGTGGTTTTTCAACTGACACATGTTTGATTCATGTAACAGATTGTATTAAATTTGAAATGGACAAAGGCAGTATTGCATGATACTTTTAGATCTACAAAAGGCATTTGATACAGTTGATCACACTATACTGCACATGAAGAAGTTCTTCTTCTTCATGAAACTTCATGCATCTACCATAGGTAATGACATTCTTACATGGTTCAAGTCTTATCTCTGATAGACAGCAGCTGGTGGATGTGGCTGGTACTCATTCTACTACTACTCCGAGTACCTATGGTGTCCCCCTGAGGTTCATTTTAGGTCCTCTTTTATGTCTAATATATGTCAATGACATGTCTGCAACCCTAAGCAATAAGCTTTTATTATATGCTGATGACTCAGGTATCCTTGTATCTGGTTTAGTAAATCTGATGAAATTCTCTCTTATGGCATGAGTCTTATAAGATTGGTTAATTGACTATAAATTATCTTTGCATCTTGGCAAGACAGAGTCTATTCTTTTTGGTTCAACTTAAACAGGGTCCTAGCCTCCAGGTCACATGTAATGGTACTGCTATATCAAACAAATCTTTTGTTAAGTATTTAGATGCAAAACTTGGATCAAATTCTTTTTGGCGTCGCCTTTGATGCTTTGCATAAATGCTTTTCTTGTATTGTATTGGATGGTTCTGTAACGTAAGCTTATTAGCAGAAATTTAAGGATATAAATATTATTTTAGATTCTGGAATTTTTCCTGAAGTTTTGAGTTACCAATATATAAAAACAAGGGTAACATAGATGATCCAGATAATTATAGGGGAATCACTATACTAAGTTGTTTTGGGAAACTTTTCACAAATGTTCTTAACTCTAGACTCAATAATTTTTTAGAAAGTAATAACATTCTCTGCGAAGAACAAGCTGGATTTAGGAAAAAGTATAGCACCACTGATCATATATATTTTCTCTGAAAACTTTGATTGATTTATATCTGTCTAAAGGTAAAAAGTTATACTGTTCTTTTATTAATTATATGTCACGAGGGTAATATACCGACATGTATAATCTATTGTTTGTATGTATGTCTTATATATTGTGTCGTTATATATTCCCTGTACGTTTGTCATTTTGTTATATCATATATGTACATGTCCTATATATTTGTCCTATTCATTCCCCATATTTTTCTCATTTTCATTCATCCTTTTCATTTATTGCAACATGTAACACTTAATGTCATTCTATATAATGCATAACAACTAATTTCTTCTGGACGGGCCTCCTAACATTTACTCACCCGGATAGGAAGTCACGCATGCGCACATTGAATACACTTCCATTGGTTTGCGCCACGAAGTAGCTGTGTTTGCGTCTTCTTTCATCCTTAGTAAATTGTTTTATTTGTTTCCGTGCCATTACAGGTAATTTTGGTTGTTATTTTTTACTCGTAATGTATTCATTCAATTATTGAAATGACATGCGTGTTGCATTTTGTATTTTGCACATTGAATATACTTCCATTGGTTTGCGCCACGAAGTAGCTGTGTTTGCGTCTTCTTTCATCCTTAGTAAATTGTTTTATTTGTTTCTGTGCCATTACAGGCAGAAACAGCCCCTCCTTTATTAGGAAAGAGGAACCCTACGACATATAGAAAGGCTTTTGATAGCATAAATAGAGCTGCACTTTGGCAGAAATTTATTAGCAATAATGTTAATGGTAAATGTATAAAGATCATTTATAAAATGTATTTACAAGCTAAATCTTGTGTTAAAATCAATTCTTTTAGTCATATGTCAGATTTTTTTACAAGTCATACAGGCGTTTGTCAGGGTGAAAATTTATCTCCCATATTGTTTTCATTGTCACAACATTTTAATTGTCTGGATCTACTATCAAACGTTGATACATTCTTTTATATGCTGATGACACAATTTTATTTGCTGAATGTGCTGAAGAACTGCAAAAAGCACTAGATGCAATGTCAAATTATTGTCAATTATGGCATTTACAAGTTAATCCTAGTAAGAGTAAAATTGTTGTATTTTTGTTAAAGTAAAGAGGGTGTATGTAATATTCCAGCCTTTAGTTTTGAAGGTAATTTGCTTGAAATTGTTGATGATTTTTCATATCTGGGTGTTAAATTCTCTCATAATGGTAAATTTGCTAAAACAAAGAATTGTTTATTAGAACAGGCAAGAAAGGCTTTGTTTTTAATTATAGTAAGTAACGACTTTATTTAATGAGGCTAACACATTCGGTTTCCCAATCTTCCATGCGGGCCTCAGCATATACATAGCATGTACATAACAATGTATACATTACACATTTTAAATAACATATATACACAAATAGAAAAAAAACAACAAAAAACAAACCAAAAAGGCTAGAAAATTGGATCTACCTATCAGTATATTTGATAGCATGGTAGCTCCTATATTGTTATATGGTATCGAAGTGTGGGAAGTGTGGAAATCTGAATATAATAGATAGATTTCAATTAAAATTTTATAAACACATATTAAATTTGAAACAAACTACTCCAAATTGTATGCTTTATGGAGATTTAGGGATATTACCTTTATCTATTCATATAAAAGGTAGAGTTTTGTGCTTTTGGAATAAGATTTTAAGTAGTAAACAAGAATCAATAAGCCATATCTTGTATGATATGTCACACTCTTTGTATTGTAGAAATGTGTTGAAACTCCCATGGATGAATAGTTTTCTTTTAAATGAAAAAAAGACTTGTCGCTTAAAAGAGATAAAAATGTGAAAATTAAATGTACATGTAGTAAGATTTGACAGAGTGAAATATTTGTTTGCGTGGAAGTACTTGAATATTCAACTTTAATTCAGGTAAAATGCATTTTTTTTGTTTCTACAACAACAAGACAGCGTGTTTGTTTTCATCAGAAAGTAATTATTGTAAGATGTGTATTCAATGAAGGTGATTTTCATGTTTGTTGAAAATCTGGGTTCATTTAACAAAAGAAATTGCAGTGTTTGATTTTTAATTCTAATTTATTTATCACAAAAATCTGATGCAGATCCACATACTCAAGCATATGGCAACTGTCAACTAAAAGTGGTATACAAATTGTAAAATAAAGCTATCACAATCTTTTGTACATCCTAGTATTCCTTATATATGTACTTAAACTTGTTATCAAATGAAATATAGTTTTTATTGTACATTCTTGTGTTGCTCTCACCCTAACAATGTATTTATAGTACATGTATTTCATTTTTTATAATTTTATAAATGCAGACATAGATGAATGTGACACAAGCCCTTGTAGTGGACCAACTAGTACATGTAATAACTTTGATGGTGGGTTTAGCTGTTCATGCGGGACAGGATATGAATTGAATGGAAACGTTTGTGTTGGTATGTTACTTTTAAAATGTAAATAAATCATACTTAGGATTTATTTCAACTAAGCATGATCTGGGAACATGATAATTACCATTATAGAAACATGAGGAGAAAACAGAACTTGGAGACCGCCTATCTCATTTGTGAGTTTTCTGCTTTTATAATTGCATGTTACAAGGGCAAATAACTCACCACTAAGGAAAGCAATGTCTAAAATTTCTTCAGCTTTAAATGAAGAAGATTTCCATTGGAGTAATTGTGTAAAATTTCACATATTTATTAAAAGTTTTTTGTTTTTGTTTTTTTTTGTAAAACTTTAAAAAAAAAGAAAATGCGAAGTCTTTCAATAAAGGAACATTGCTGCCTCTTATACAAAGACAATTTTTCAAACTTATTGTTTAGAAATTTAAGAATGTAATCTCCACTAACAAAATTCAGAAATGTATTTATAAGATAAATAACTTTCAATTTTGTTTATTTCTCCATACATTTTTGAACACCCTGGTTGAAAATGAAGCGCACATCTTAATCTTATTCAAACTGTCACTGAACCTGCTTCCAGTTGTAAACATATTTTAAGTTATGTGTATCAGAATGTGATTATATGACAGGTACACACCCTTAGAAAAATGCCTTCCTGCATGATGAGCTCCACACCCCAAGTGTCTGTGAATTTACCCTCCTCACCCGTCCTAATTGTGTGTGTTTTTTGTATATTTTATTGTACAATATTGTACAATATTGTTATTTGTATAAGTCATGTCATTTAAATACTTGATTATGAATATATACTACTGTAATGATTATTGGGTTATCATATGGATAGACAAAGCCATTCCGATTGAGTTTCATGAAACAAATTGTCTTATTTGGTACTTGATAAAAGAATCATTTATATGAATGTGAAACATGTGATCTCAGTTTACCTAATTATATTATAACAATTTCAAAATTTCTCTTGTGTTTTCTTTTAAATGAAAACTTATAATTTAATTGCAACTGTCATTCTATTATTTCATTATTGACTTGTTGCTTAAAAGAGATGAAAATGTGAAAATTAAATGTAGTATTTAGATTTGACAGAGTGAAATATTTGTTTGCGTGGAAGTACTTGAATATTCAACTTTAATTCAGGTAAAATGCATTTTTTTTGTTTCTACAACAACAAGACAGCGTGTTTGTTTTCATCAGAAAGTAATTATTGTAAGATGTGTATTCAATGAAGGTGATTTTCATGTTTGTTGAAAATCTGGGTTCATTTAACAAAAGAAATTGCAGTGTTTGATTTTTAATTCTAATTTATTTATCACAAAAATCTGATGCAGATCCACATACTCAAGCATATGGCAACTGTCAACTAAAAGTGGTATACAAATTGTAAAATAAAGCTATCACAATCTTTTGTACATCCTAGTATTCCTTATATATGTACTTAAACTTGTTATCAAATGAAATATAGTTTTTATTGTACATTCTTGTGTTGCAGCGAGTCTCACCCTAACAATGAATTTATAGTACATGTATTTCATTTTTTATAATTTTATAAATGCAGACATAGATGAATGTGACACAAGCCCTTGTAGTGGACCAACTAGTACATGTAATAACTTTGATGGTGGGTTTAGCTGTTCATGCGGGACAGGATATGAATTGAATGGAAACGTTTATGTTGGTATGTTACACTGTTAAAAAGTTATATATTTTTTACCAAAGATCTTTCTAACTTAGGTCAAGTATGACTTGATATTGTGGCATTATTAAACATAGATCATGCTTTCTTGCATATCAGACAGGATTATCTACCGTTTACACCGGTGCTAGAAAACTCTATCTTACACCCCCCATGTAAGACAAGTCGCGTGTTTTAAATGACGTCATTGACGCGAGCCTTTTATGAATGAATTGCGTTCTTAGGATGACGTCACTTAACCGTTATGAATGAAGTTGTAAGTTCATACGCTACTATAAGAAAAAAGTGCGTTATGAGAATATCGGTTTTTGTAATTTCTGTTCTGAAAATAATTGATATGTAATATGCAAGAAAAAGAATCAAACACCGGCTGTCAGTGCAGACGGGAATATCTAGCTCTCGGATAACTGTTTAGCGGAAACTCGTTTTAAAAATATCTGTAACATGATGGAAATTCACTGTATCCCACTGTAACCTTGTGTAACCCTTGTATCCCTGTATCCCTTATCATGTGGGGGTGAAAAATAATTGTGTTTTTGTGCCATATATGAACAGTTATCCTCGAGCTAGATATTCCGGTCTGTACCGGCAGCCAGTGTAAGATTCTTATAAGCTTAGGTGAAGTGTGACTGGATATTGTGGCATTCTTAAACTTAGTACATGCTAGCTTAGGTCAAGTGTGACTGGATATTGTTGCATTATTAAACATCGATCATGTTTAAGCTTAGATCAAGTGTGACTGGATATTGTTGCATTATTAAACATCGATCATGCTAGCTTAGGTCCAGTGTGACTGGATATTGTGGCATTATTAAACAATAGATCATGCTAGCTTAGGTCAAGTGTGACTGGATATTGTGGCATTCTTAAACTTAGATCATGCTAGGTAAGGTCCAGTGTGACTGGATATTGTGGCATTCTTAAACTTAGATCATGCTAGCTTAGGTCAAGTGTGACTGGATATTGTGGCATTATTAAACTTAGATCATGCTAGGTAAGGTCCAGTGTGACTGGATATTGTGGCATTCTTAAACTTAGATCATGCTAGCTTAGGTCAATTTAGACTGGATATTGTGGCATTATTAAACATAGATCATCCTTGCTTGCATTATTAAACATAGGTCATGCTAGCTAAGGTCAAGTGTGACTCTATATTGTGGCATTATAAAACAAAGATCATGCTAGGTAAGGTCCAGTGTGACCGGATATTGTGGCATTATTAAACATAGATCATGCTAGCTTAGGTCCAGTGTGACTGGATATTGTGGCATTGTTAAATATAGATCATGTTAGCTTAGGTCAAGTGTAACTGGATATTGTGGCATTATTAAACATAGATCATGCTAGCTAAGGTCAAGTGTGACTCTATATTGTGGCATTATAAAAACAAAAGATCATGCTAGCTAAGGTCAAGTGTGGACTCTATATTGTGGCATTATAAAACAAAGTTCATGATAGCTTAGGTTCAGTGTGACTGGATATTGTGGGCATTATTAAACTTAGATCATGCTAGCTTAGGTCCAGTGTGACTGCATATTGTGGCATTATTAAACATAGTTCATGATAGCTCAGGTCAAGTGTGACTGGATATTGTGGCATAATTAAACTTAGATCATGCTAGCTAAGGTCCAGTGTGACTGCATATTGTGGCACTATTAAACATAGTTCATGATAGCTTAGGTCAAGTGTGACTGGATATTGTGACATTATTAAACTTAGATCATGCTAGCTTAGGTCCAGTGTGACTGGATATTGTGGCATTATTAAACATAGATCATGCTAGGTAAGGTCAAGTGTGACTGGATATTGTGGCATTATTAAACATAGATCATGCTAGCTTAGGTCAAGTGTGACTGGATATTGTGGCATTATTAAACATAGATAATGCTAGCTTATGTTCAGTGTGACTGTATATTTTAGGCATTATTAAACATAGATCATGCTAGCTTTTGTCAAGTGTGACTGGATATTGTGGCATTATTAAATATAGATCATGCTAGCTTAGGTCCAGTGTGACTGGATATTGTGGCATTATTAAACAATAGATCATGCTAGCTTAGGTCCAGTGTGACTGGATATTGTGGCAATATTAAACATAGATCATGCTAGCTTAGGTCAAGTGTGACTGGATATTGTGGCATTATTAAACATAGATCATGCTAGCTTAGGTCAAGTGTGAATGGATATTTTAGGCATTATTAAACATAGATCATGCTAGCTTTTGTCAAGTGTGACTGGATATTGTGGCATTATTAAATATAGATCATGCTAGCTTAGGTCCAGTGTGACTGGATATTGTGGCATTATCCCAGCAGGCACATCAACGTTGTTTCAACGTTGAATTATGGTCAGATTTCAACGTTGAAATAAGGTTGGATTTATATTCGGATTTGAAAGTTGAAACAACGTTGAAATTTCAACGTTGATACAACGTTGGCACAACGTTGAAGTTTCAATGTCATTTTAACGTTGAAAACCCACCATACTTTAATTTTTGGATATAAAGCAAAGTAACCAAGTTTAACAAAATATCAAGACAATATTAAATACTTCAGACATTTTATTTCAAAAATACAGTTCAAGTGCAGCTTAAATACACTTTAATAGTTTTAACAATTAATCTACAATCTGTTCCAATCTTTTCTTCTAGATCTTTCTGGGTATGTCAAGTGTTTGAGTACTTCTTTGGCTGTCTCTTACTGCTTCTGCAAATAAAAATAAGAAGTTTGTAGTAAAAAGTGACTTGGTCAATCTCAAATTATACATATAATTACTCAACGTAGTGATTTGTTTTTATCTTAAAATGCTTTTCTCTAAGATTTACATCATAAAACAGCATAGAAATTGAAACATAGCCAAGTTTCATATTGACAGCAAATACTGTATATAAGACAACAAAATCTTTTTTAAAAGAAGCTATTTAAAAGTCTCACCTATGATTGGTAAGAAAAACTGCTCCCCGTCAGTTCCTTGCAGCATATTCCCAAGAAATTAACATTCTAGGCTCTAACTAAGACTATTTTATGCAGCATCCTGAAATCAACAAACATGTAAATTTTATATTAATAATGATACAGGAATATTCCGAAAAAAAATATGTTTTAAGACAAGATAAATATCCAGTAGTTGAAAAATTTATACTTTGTATTGTAAAGAAATTCAAATAGATATAAATTAATAAGAATAAATTTCAATTTAACAAACCTGACAGTCCTTTTCATGTTGAATGTATGGTATACAGGCTACAGCTGCAATACTCTAAATTTCAGCTAGGACCAGGATCTAGAATATAAAAAAAAATAATAAAATAGAAATAGATTCATTATTCCCCATAAATTTACGACTATTATTAAACTTTAAAGTTTAACACTCAAATTTTTTATTTAATTTAATAATAATGTATTTTTTTCAAACTAATTAACACTGTATTATATTATCACTAAAATATAAACATAGTTATAAATATATATTGACGAATCGTCTTGGGACGTAAATTATGTGGGCCGAACTACTTTATAGGTTTCAATTTTATAATTGATTAAATTTTAATTAGGATATAGTACAGAAAAATGTTTAATAATATGAAAAATAAATTAAAGAAAGACAAGATTTGTAAAATCATAAATTGCCAAGGACATCAATAACTTCGTGTTTACAAGGCCTACCGATCGAACCCAAATCATTCAAAATTTAGGTCGCGAAAACGTGTCAAATCAACTCAATCATGTGTTTTCATCTCTCATTTATTTCATAAAGTAAATTAAAGTAGAATTTTAAGAATAAATAATAATATTTTAGAAAAAAATCAGTAAACTAAAGTAAAACATTACAGTAATACCTTCGAAAATCCAAATAAATTGCCAATCGTCTTGTTTTCAAATTTTCCAAACAGCGCCACCATTTGCACGAACGATAATCAAAGACGGGAAACAAAATCATAGACCGCAACAATTACTTCCCCTGATCAGCGTTATTTTATAAACGGGGTTTTGACTAATATCAATTTATTAATTAATATTATTCATAAAGAACTAAAAAATAAAACAACAAAACATATTTACTAATATTTAAAGCGTTAATAGAAAGTGAAAAATTATTTCCAACTTTGTTTAAGCGCTAATTTTGAATATACGGAAAAAGATTGTAACGCAAATTTTCCTAACAAAAATCACTTATAATACAGACTAATTCAATAAAAGAATAATAACACAAAATTAGTGGTATAAAAGTTTATATTTTGATTAAACTAAATGTAAAACTTCGACCATAAACAACGTTGAATCAACGTTGTATATACATTGGCAATATATCCGTATGGTCGTCCATAGTTGAATATTGGTTGAACAACGTCACAACCATATTTCAACGTTGTTTCAACGTTGAAACAACGTCGAGTGCCTGCTGGGATTAAACATAGATCATGCTAGCTTAGGTTCAGTGTGACTGGATATTTTAGGCATTATTAAACATAGATCATGCTAGCTTTTGTCAAGTGTGACTGGACATTGTGGCATTATTAAACATAGATCATGCTAGCTTAGGTTCAGTGTGACTGGACATTGTGGCATTATTAAACATAGATCATGCTAGCTTAGGTTCAGTGTGACTGGATATTTTAGGCATTATTAAACATAGATCATGCTAGCTTAGGTCAAGTGTGACTGGACATTGTGGCATTATTAAACATAGATCATGCTCGCTTAGGTTCAGTGTGACTGGATATTTTAGGCATATTTAAACATAGATCATGCTAGCTTTTGTCAAGTGTGACTGGATATTGTGGCATTATTAAATATAGATCATGCTAGCTTAGGTCCAGTGTGACTGGATATTGTGGCATTATTAAACATAGATCATGCTAGCTTAGGTTCAGTGTGACTGGATATTGTGGCATTATTAAACATAGATCATGCTAGCTTAGGTCCAGTGTGACTGGATATTGTGGCATTATTAAACATAGATCATGCTAGCTTAGGTTCAGTGTGACTGGATATTTTAGGCATATTTAAACATAGATCATGCTAGCTTTTGTCAAGTGTGACTGGATATTGTGGCATTATTAAATATAGATCATGCTAGCTAAGGTCCAGTGTGACTGGATATTTTAGGCATATTTAAACATAGATCATGCTAGCTTTTGTCAAGTGTGACTGGATATTGTGGCATTATTAAATATAGATCATGCTAGCTAAGGTCCAGTGTGACTGGATATTGTGGCATTATTAAACATAGATCTAGCTTAGGGAACGTTGGTGGTTCTACTCAGGTGCCCGTTCGTGCCTGAAATAATGCACGGAGGGGCACCTGAGGTCTTCCTCCACCAATAAAGCTGGAATGTCGCGATATGACATATACTGTGTTGATGTGACGTAAAACCCAATTAAAAAAAATAAATAAATAAACATAGATCATGCTAGCTAAAGTCTAGTGTGACTGGATATTGTGGCATTATTAAACTTAGATCATGCTAGCTTAGATCAAGTGTGACCAGATATTGTGGCATTATTAAACTTAGATCATGCTAGCTTAGATCAAGTGTGACTGGATATTGTGGCATTATTAAACTTAGATCATGCTAGCTTAGGTCAAGTGTGATTGGATATTGTGGCATCATTAAACATAGGTCATGCTAGCTTAGGTCAAGTGTGACTGGATATTGTAACATTATTAAACATAGATCATGCTTGCTTGCATTATTAAACTTAGATCATGCTAGCTAAGGTCCAGTGTGACTCTATATTGTGGCATTATAAAACAAAGTTCATGCTAGATAAGGTCCAGTGTGACTGGATATTGTGGCATTATTAAACAAAGTTCATGCTAGCTTAGGTCAACTATGAATGGATATTGTGGTATTATTAAACTTAGATCATGCTAGCTTAGGTCAAGTGTGACTGGATTTTGCGGTATTATTAAACTTAGATCATGCTAGCTTAGGTCAACTATGAATGGATATTGTGGTATTATTAAACTTAGATCATGCTAGCTTAGGTCAAGTGTGACTGGATTTTGCGGTATTATTAAACCTGGATCGGTCAAGTTTGACTGGATATTGTGGTGAAGCAAGATTACGTTCCTTTTACCTTACAGTCCCATGCAGATCTTTATTCCAATAGTTCAGATTGATGTGTCATGAATGAAATGTTCTTTCTATAAAAATGAATTTAAACAAAGTTTTAAGAACTGTTTGAGCATTTCTTTCTATTTCTAAAAATTTAAAAAATGTACATGTCTCTGGTTGGTAAGTAATTACATCAGTTTACATTGTTTATAAAGTGAGTCATCTGATAAGACTATCTTATCAATTAAATTTCACTTCTCACAATGTAATGACACCAAACCTGTATGAAATAAAATATATCTACTAGTATATCTGATACCAAAATAAAAAAAAACAATCTTGCTTAAGAAGTTTATCAATTAATTACAATCAATCAATTTCTTTTTTTTTAATTGTCACTCTAAATTGCATAGCAATTGCCAGTAAATTAAATTTTGTCTGCTGCTGTGTATAGCCTGGGTTCTATGATATCATGTTACTTAATTTCTAAAAATAGTTTAGAAAATGACATTTTTTATTGGATTTTTTAAAATAAATCTTTGACTAACAGTTTTTGAAAAAGTTCATACATTTAGAAAATGACATTTTTTGTTGGATTTTTAATAATAAATCTTTGACAAACAGTTTTGAAAAAGTTCATACATTAAATAGCTGAAAAATCTCATTCATATATGGTATTTAAATTTAAATATTTTCCGATAGAATTAAAGGAACATGATGTCATAGAACCCCGGGCTATACACTAAGACCTGATTCTATGCTGGTGAATGCTGTATACATCAGAGTGTGTACATGAACACTTAGAACTGCTTCTATGCTGGTGGCTGCTGTATACATCAGAGAGTGTCTACATGAACACTAAGACCTGATTCTATGATGGTGGCTGCTGTATACATCAGAGTGTCTACATGAACACTAAAACCTGATTCTATGCTGGTGGCTGCTGTATACATCAGAGTGTCTACATGAACACTAAGACCTGATTCTATGCTGGTGGCTGCTGTATACATCAGAGTGTCTACATGAACACTAAGACCTGATTCTATGCTGGTGGCTGCTGTATACATCAGAGTGTCTACATGAACACTAACACCTTATTATATGCAGCTGACTGCTGTATACATCAGATTGTCTACATGAACACTAAGACCTGATTCTATGCTTGTGTCTGTTGTATACATCAGAGTGTCTACATGAACACTAAGACCTGATTCTATGCAGCTGACTGCTGTATACATCAGAGTGAATACATGAACACTAAGACCTGATTCTATGCTGGTGGCTGCTGTATACATCAGATTATCTACATGAACACTAAGACCTGATTCTATGCTTGTGTCTGTTGTATACATCAGAGTGTCTACATGAACACTAAGACCTGATTCTATGCTGGTGGCTGCTGTATACATCAGAGTGTCTACATGAACACTAAGACCTGATTCTATGCTGGTGGCTGCTGTATACATCAGATTATCTACATGAACACTAAGACCTGATTCTATTCTTGTGTCTGTTGTATACATCAGAGTGTCTACATGAACACTAAGACCTGATTCTATGCTGGTGGCTGCTGTATACATCAGAGTGTCTACATGAACACTAAGACCTGATTCTATGCTGGTGACTGCTGTATACATCAGAGTGTCTACATGAACACTAAAACCTGATTCTATGCTGGTGTCTGCTGTATACATCAGATTGTCTACATGAACACTAAGACCTGATTCTATGCTGGTGGCTGCTGTATACATCAGAGTGTCACATGAACACTTAGACCTGATTCTATGCTTGTGTCTGTTGTATACATCAGAGTGTCTACATGAACACTAAGACCTTATTATATGCAGCTGACTGCTGTATACATCAGAGTGTCTACATGAACACTAAGACCTGATTCTATGCTGGTGACTGCTGTATACACCAGAGTGTCTACATGAACACTAAGACCTGATTCTATGCTTGTGTCTGTTGTATACATCAGAGTGTCTACATGAACACTAAGACCTTATTATATGCAGCTGACTGCTGTATACATCAGAGTGTCTACATGAACACTAAGACCTGATTCTATGCTGATGACTGCTGTATACATCAGAGTGTCTACATGAACACCAAGACCTGATTCTATGCTGGTGGCTGCTGTATACATCAGAGTGTCTACATGAACACTAAGACCTGATTCTATGCTGGTGGCTGCTGTATACATCAGAGTGTCTACATGAACACTAAGACCTTATTATATGCAGCTGACTGCTGTATACATCAGAGTGTCTACATGAACACTAAGACCTGATTCTATGCTGATGACTGCTGTATACATCAGAGTGTCTACATGAACACCAAGACCTGATTCTATGCTGGTGGCTGCTGTATACACCAGAGTGGCTACATGAACACTAAGACCTGATTCTATGCTGGTGTCTGCTGTATACATCAGAGTGTCTACATGAACACTAATACCTGATTCTATGATGGTGGCTGCTTTATACATCAGAGTGTCACATGAACAGTTAGACCTGATTCTATGCTGGTGGCTGCTGTATACACCAGAGTGTTTACATGAACACTAAGACCTGATTCTATGCTGGTGGCTGCTGTATACATCAGAGTGTCTACATGAACACTAAGACCTTATTATATGCAGCTGACTGCTTTATACATCAGAGTGTCTACATGAACACTAAGACCCTATTATATGCAGCTGACTGCTGTATACATCAGGGTGTCTACTTGAACACTAAGACCTGATTCTATGCTGGTGGCTGCTGTATACATCAGATTGTCTACATGAACACTAAGACCTGATTCTATCATCTATGCTGGTGACTGCTGTATACATCAGAGTGTCTACATGAACACTAAGACCTGATTCTATGCTGGTGACTGCTGTATACATCAGAGTGTCTACATGAACACTTAGAACTGCTTCTATGCTGGTGGCTGCTGTATACATCAGAGTGTCTACATGAACACTAAGACCTGATTCTATGCTGGTGGCTGCTGTATACATCAGAGTGTCTACATGAACACTAAGACCTGATTCTATGCTGGTGGCTGCTGTATACATCAGATTATCTACATGAACACTAAGACCTGATTCTATGCTTGTGTCTGTTGTATACATCAGAGTGTCTACATGAACACTAAGACCTGATTCTATGCTTGTGTCTGCTGTATACATCAGAGTGTCTACATGAACACTAAGACCTGATTCTATGCTGGTGGTTGCTGTATACATCAGAGTGTCTACATGAACACTAAGACCTGATTCTATGCTGGTGACTGCTGTATACATCAGAGTGTCTACATGAACACTAAGACCTGATTCTATGCTGGTGTCTGCTGTATACATCAGATTGTCTACATGAACACCAATACCTGATTCTATGCTGGTGGCTGCTGTATACATCAGAGTGTCTACATGAACACTTAGACCTGATTCTATGCTTGTGTCTGTTGTATACATCAGAGTGTCTACATGAACACTAAGACTTTATTATATGCAGCTGACTGCTGTATACATCAGAGTGTCTACATGAACACTAAGACCTGATTCTATGCTGGTGACTGCTGTATACATCAGAGTGTCTACATGAACACCAATACCTGATTCTATGCTGGTGGCTGCTGTATACACCAGAGTGGCTACATGAACACTAAGACCTGATTCTATGCTGGTGTCTGCTGTATACATCAGAGTGTCTACATGAACACTAAGACCTGATTCTATGCTGGTGGCTGCTTTATACATCAGAGTGTCACATGAACACTAAGACCTGATTCTATGCTGGTGGCTGCTGTATACATCAGAGTGTCTACATGAACACTAAGACCTTATTATATGCAGCTGACTGCTTTATACATCAGAGTGTCTACATGAACACTAAGACCCTATTATATGCAGCTGACTGCTGTATACATCAGGGTGTCTACTTGAACACTAAGACCTGATTCTATGCTGGTGGCTGCTGTATACATCAGATTGTCTACATGAACACTAAGACCTGATTCTATCATCTATGCTGGTGACTGCTGTATACATCAGAGTGTCTACATGAACACTAAGACCTGATTCTATGCTGGTGACTGCTGTATACATCAGAGTGTCTACATGAACACTTAGAACTGCTTCTATGCTGGTGGCTGCTGTATACATCTGAGTGTCTACATGAACACCAAGACCTGATTCTATGCTGGTGGCTGCTGTATACATCAGATTATCTACATGAACACTAAGACCTGATTCTATGCTTGTGTCTGTTGTATACATCAGAGTGTCTACATGAACACTAAGACCTGATTCTATGCTGGTGGCTGCTGTATACATCAGAGTGTCTACATGAACACTAAGACCTGATTCTATGCTGGTGGTTTCTGTATACATCAGAGTGTCTACATGAACACTAAGACCTGATTCTATGCTGGTGACTGCTGTATACATCAGAGTGTCTACATGAACACTAAGACCTGATTCTATGCTGGTGTCTGCTGTATACATCAGATTGTCTACATGAACACCAATACCTGATTCTATGCTGGTGGCTGCTGTATACATCAGAGTGTCTACATGAACACTTAGACCTGATTCTATGCTTGTGTCTGTTGTATACATCAGAGTGTCTACATGAACACTAAGACTTTATTATATGCAGCTGACTGCTGTATACATCAGAGTGTCTGCATGAACACTAAGACCTGATTCTATGCTGGTGACTGCTGTATACATCAGAGTGTCTACATGAACACCAATACCTGATTCTATGCTGGTGGCTGCTGTATACACCAGAGTGGCTACATGAACACTAAGACCTGATTCTATGCTGGTGTCTGCTGTATACATCAGAGTGTCTATATGAACACTAAGACCTGATTCTATGCTGGTGGCTGCTTTATACATCAGAGTGTCACATGAACAGTTAGACCTGATTCTATGCTGGTGGCTGCTGTATACACCAGAGTGTCTACATGAACACTAAGACCTGATTCTATGCTGGTGTCTGCTGTATACATTAGAGTGTCTACATGAACACTAAGACCTTATTATATGCAGCTGACTGCTCTATACATCAGAGTGTCTGCATGAACACTAAGACCCTATTATATGCAGCTGACTGCTGTATACATCAGGGTGTCTACTTGAACACTAAGACCTGATTCTATGCTGGTGGCTGCTGTATACATCAGAATGTCTACATGAACACTAAGGCCTGATTCTATGCTGGTGACTGCTGTATACATCAGAGTGTCTACATGAACACTAAAACCTGATTCTATGCTGGTGTCTGCTGTATACATCAGATTGTCTACATGAACACTAAGACCTGATTCTATGCTTGTGTCTGTGGTATACATCAGAGTGTCTACATGAACACTAAGACCTTTTTATATGCAGCTGACTGCTGTATACATCAGAGTGTCTACATGAACACTAAGACCTGATTCTATGCTGGTGACTGCTGTATACATCAGAGTGTCTACATGAACACCAATACCTGATTCTATGCTGGTGGCCGCTGTATACACCAGAGTGGCTACATGAACACTAAGACCTGATTCTATGCTGGTGGCTGCTGTATACATCAGAGTGTCTACATGAACACTAAGACCTGATTATATGCAGCTGACTGCTTTATACATCAGAGTGTCTACATGAACACTAAGACCCTATTATATGCAGCTGACTGCTGAATACATCAGGGTGTCTACTTGAACACTAAGACCTGATTCTATGCTGGTGGCTGCTGTATACATCAGAGTGTCTACATGAACACTAAGACCTGATTCTATCATCTATGCTGGTGACTGCTGTATACATCAGAGTGTCTACATGAACACTAAGACCTGATTCTATGCTGGTGACTGCTGTATACATCAGAGTGTCTACATGAACACTTAGAACTGCTTCTATGCTGGTGGCTGCTGTATACATCAGAGTGTCTACATGAACACTAAGACCTGATTCTATGCTGGTGACTGCTGTATACATCAGAGTGTCTACATGAACACTAAGACCTGATTCTATGCTGGTGGCTGCTGTATACATCAGAGTGTCTACATGAACACTAAGACTTGATTCTATGCTGGTGGCTGCTGTAAACATCAGAGGGTCTACATGAACACTAAGACCTGATTCTATGCTGGTGGCTGCTGTATATACACCAGAGTGTCTACATGAACACTAAGACCTGATTCTATGCTGGTTGCTGCTGTATACATCAGTGTGTCTACATGAACGCTAAAACCTGATTCTATGCTGGTTGCTACTGTATACATCAGAGTGTCTACATGAACACTAAGACCTGATTCTATGCTGGTGACTGCTGTATACATCAGAGTGTCTACATGAACACTAAGACCTGATTCTATGCTGGTGGCTGCTGTATACATCAGAGTGTCTACATGAACACTAAGACCTGATTCTATGCTGGTGGCTGCTGTATACATCAGAGTGTCTACATGAACACTAAGACCTGGTTCTATGCTGGTGACTGCTGTATACATCAGGGTGTCTACTTGAACACTAAGACCTGATTCTATGCTGATTGCCCAATTGGTTTACTTTCAGAATTTTCATATTGAAATATTGCATAATAACAATTATTGATTCAAACATTATCACAGATGGGCATAAATTTCATATACATAACTGAGTAAAACATAGAGTCAAAAGTATCAGAAGATTGAAATAAGATTCCGACTAATTTGAATATCTTACAATCTTAAGATTGTAAAACTCCGGAATTTTAAACCCAAATACTTTCCACATATTTGTAATCATGTACATCTTGTAGAAATGAAATACATACAGAACGCCCTAAATAGCAAAAGTTTATATAAGAGTATATTTTAGACGTTAGTAACAAGTGTTCCTACTCTCTAGCTCTCATGTAGGTGGAATAAAACAGTGTAACATAAAAATGGTGAAATTTTAAATTTAGAAATTTTAGAATATTTGATATGCACCAATATACACAATAATTATGATAACGGTCTTCAAGTGGTCAATTTCTACACATCTAACTCCCTACTATGATGAAAAGTCAATAATCCAATGTTCTTTCTTAATTAAATGAAGGTAAACCTATGAAGTAAAAAAAAAAGTAAAAAAAATCATGCGAAAAGAAATAAAAATCTTGTTTATAAGATCAATGATATTAGTAAATATATTGAAGAGCATTAATTTTATTTCAGATGTTGATGAATGTAGCGATGGTTCTCATTGTTGTGATGGTCCAACACATTAGTATCGGAGACTACTCCTGTGGTTGTGCTGGATCTGGTTATGAAGTTCATGAAAATGGTTGTACATGTGTAGGCAAGTCATTTATGTTGGATTTTATGTCGACTTTCCAGCTTTACTGATGGAGGAAGTGTTCAGGTGCCCCTTCTTGCATTATTTCAGACAAGAATGAGCACATGAGTAGAATCACTGACCAACCAAATGTACGCTGGATAGCTTCCTCTGATGAAAGAATCCAATGGCCATGGTGAAGTCGAACCCACAGTGGTGATTGGCAAATTGTTTGAAATCAACGACTTTAACCACTTGACTGGGGCTGCTATAGAAGGGCTAAATTGAAAAAGATCTTTCCCATTTATAGACTTTGAAAATTTTATTTTATGCAGCATATTATCTTGCACCATAATTGGGATTAAAAAGACAAACAAAGGAAAAAATCAAATGAGACTTTGCTTGTCACAGTTTTGAGTTATCTTCCCTTGAAAATTATTCTTAAGAAGAAAAATAGTTGCATTCCTTTAAATTTTGAAGTACTCAGTTATGGTCAGATTTTTTGCGGAAAAAGTTTTTTGTTTAAATTAAACAGGAAAGAATTTCAATTAATTAACTTTGATGTTGATTTTAATAGGCAGGTAATTGTACTTCTTTTAAAGGCATTGGTCCTTGATAGAACCAACAAAATCACAATTTAATTTTGATTAGGTTCCGGTTCCGCTTTCGAGTAAAAAGTAAACAATCTTTCTATGATGTAAAAAAGGCCAAGTAAATCACTTATACGCTGGATAGAAAGCAGAAATACCGACAAAATGATGTATAAAGCTACGTAAGGTGAATGCTGATATGACTTTTTGAAATATTTATGAAAATTTATCGAAAATTTCGAGTGTCTGGTGTTTAACGTATAACGTTAAGTGGGTGGGATATCTCAGGTAAAAAATTTACCTGTACACATCACCTGATTAAAAATTCGTCACGCTTGATCGAACTTTAGCTATGAAAAGTACTGTTTAGTTAAAAAGCAGTTATGTAACATAATTATAATATACATATATCATTGAAAATGAGCTCGCGGACAAAGCGAGGGCTTTCATCAACAAACAGTGAAGGAGAATGTACTAGCGCTTTAGACTCAACAGTCTTTAAAGATTCAGATTTTTCGCCAATTGACGAAAAAAAGAAGAAGGAAAAACAAAAGCAGAAAAACAAAAAACAATGGCTGATTTTATGGAAACATCTAATAAACAAGATCTTCTAGGTAATAAATCCGTAGAAAAAATGTTAGACACGATAAATGAAAAATTGTCAAATGTAATTACAAAAAGTGATATTTCTTTAATAAGACAGGTTGTCATTGACACCGTAAATGAAATGAAAGAGCAGTTTCTCAGCTCACTCGTAAAGCGTTTGGAAATACTTGAGGGGAGTGTCCATGACCAGGCGTCTGAAACAGATCAACTTAAAAAAGATTTGAAAAACAAACAAAATGAATTAGATGAAATAAAGGACAAAATGCAATGTATTCGTGATAGGGTCAGACGAGAAACTGAAACAAATGACAGGGTTTTAAATGACCTAGAGCAGTACAGCCGCAGAAACAACATTAGAATATATGGTGTTCCTGGCGATTCAGAAAAACAGTCCTCTCAGGAAACAACTACAAAGGTCGTGTCCCTTTTGAACGAAAAACTTTCAATGTCAATAACAGAAGAGAACATTGATATAGCACACAGGCTAGGGCAGTACAAAGGGAAAGATCGACCTGTTATTGTAAAGTTTGTACGAAGACAAGTTAAAAATGAAGTTTTCGAAAAAATAAAGAGATTGAAAACAACAAATATTTTCATAAACCATGATCTCACGTGGTTGAATCAACAGGTGCTATCTTCTCTTCGCCTTAAAGATACAAATGCAGTAAAAAAATGCTGGTGTACGGATGGAAAGATTTTTGCGACATTCATGGACGACCAAAATGGAATAAAACGATTTAAGACAAAAGAAATCAAGTTTGTCGATTTTGATTACTGGTTGAACCTTCCGTGGCCAGGAAAAGGAAATCCCAAATAGACTATTTAGAGATAAAACATGATAATATGGACAGCCTTTGACTTTAAATTGTTTTCTCCCTAAATAAACAGTTATACGGAATATGAAAATGCTAAAACTTAAGTTACAATGATTTTAAAATAACAAATGTCTACATATACTTGACATTTAGCAAAAAAATTTGTTTGCTTTTGCTTTTGTTGTTTATTTATTCAATCTTTTTTAGGTATAGTCTCTGTAATGATCTTGTCTTTTTTACCAAGACATTACCCTAGAGATATTTTCATGCATATCTTTGTGTTTAGCGTGACTTATAATAATAAATAATAATAATAATAACAATAATAAAAGCAATAATATTAATAAAAAGCAATATAATCAATAAAATAATCACAAAGATAGATTTTTTTTAGTATGTTTAAACATGTTTTTTTGTTGTTGTTTTTTTTTAATCTCTCTGTAATGATCTTTTCTGTTTCGTTTTGTTTTTCGCTTTTTCGCAAAGACATTACTTTGAGGTTCTTTTTCAATATAACTTTAATTTAGTGATACACTATTCATTGTGCTTTAAAAAATTTTGTTTTTGTTTTTTCTCCATCACTCTATTCATGCAGCACATAATAAATGCATAAATACTTAGAAGTCAGTTTTATAAAAGTGCATATTATGCCTTAAAGTTATATCTCTGCAAGAATCAACACTTAGCATTTACTGTATGCTTAAATATATATGATGCCCAAAATTAATATCTATTGGTTTGAACTGTTCTCTTTTTTTTTTTCTCACAATGAAACTTTTTTATGCATTTTTCTGTATATTTTTTTTTTACTCAAAGTAAATTGTCTACCATTTTTCTTTTTATGTTTTTTATTTTTCTAAGAAATAAATGTAAGCTTTTAAGAAAATATCAGACGCTTATATCTTAATTTTAGCTCGATTTTTCAAATTACTTTTTTTATTTAAGCTATATTTATTTAAACTGAATTATTCTGGTTAAAAGAAGACAGTGTCTTTCAAGCACTTGTTTATATATAGAAGAAAAAGAAGAATAGTCCAGCCATCTGGGTTCATTTTACTCTCACATTTTTGCATTTATACAAAATGAAAAATATATCCAGTCTATAAGTGATTTATTTATTTAAATATTCGAAAATGAAACACAAACACAATATCAAATTACTAATAATTCTTTTAATAAGTCTACGTGAAAAGAAACTTAATCACATATACACAGATGAAAAACTTTTGAATTATACGAAAAAACTATTGGTTGGATAATTTGGCCGCTCGAGACAAGACAGATTTGACCATGTCGAGTCTTGTGAGAAAAAATTCCGACGACCGAAGGGAGGCAGTATTTTCTACAAACTGTACACAACTCGACAAAACTGTACGCAACTGTACACAAATAAAAATTGCGTAATTGACTTCATTTTTAACATTTCTATTGTTTTTGTACTTCTAATATTAACGGCAACCTACATGTATATACCACTGGTTACATACTACCGCAAGCATCGGTACCATTAACGACGAACAATAAAACCACTCACCAATGATTAGACCAAGAGATGAATGGTTCCACAATTCGAGTTAATGTTAAACAGCAACAGCAAAGGCTGTACAATGCAAGGCAAGGCAATGCAAGGCAATAAAGCAAGGCTAGTTAGGAATTGCCGAGTACTAAGGGCAAAACCTATTAACGAGTCAACACAATTACTGTTAGACCGTATAATAATTAGAAGTACCGTGTGAGCATTTAAAATTTAACCTACAAGGTCAAGGTTCCTATCTTTAGGCGATTAGACCAGCCCAAAAAACAAGGTGACCCTAACCAGCTAAAATATTCGAAAAACATGAATTGCGAATACATTAAATTGCGAGGCCTGCCTACCCCTCAATCGACAGAATTTTTTCCGCTTTAGAGCGACAAAGAATAAATTGAGTCAATGGCCAAATGTGGCCAACAGTGATTAAACTCATCAACAATTACAATCGCATTACTATATGCGTCCAAGGAAAATATAATATGGAGAATGTTATTTCAGTTTAAAATGTCAACAATGTTCATCAAAATCTCTGACATGAAGACTTAGCAACAATTATAGCATAACAGTTTATACCACTAACACCGCGCTACAAGTCCTGCACTTCCGAATTTACAGTTATCTTTAACACATATCTGGCACGTTTTATTTTAACCATATTTAACACATTATTATTATAACTAACTTCACACGTCGATAACATCCTTGTGTGTATTTGCGGCTCCATAGTCTGAGATGTAGTGGCATATTCTCCCATAATTATTTTCCTTGGAAGTCCACAAAAACATGTCTATAACAACAGCCTGCAAAGTATAAAAAGTCACAGCAGTATCTACATCCAAATAAACAATGACAAACACACGCTTATATACAGTTTACCAAAATATGTTTCACCTGTGACGTCACCTTTATGATCGCTATGATAACTCAAAAAATGACAGTTATTTATAATTAAGCAAATGGGGTGTGGCGGGCGGGTAAATGTTTTAAACCAGTCAATCTGTACTTCAGACGTGTAAAGAGTGAGTTTCTGCACGGGTTTTGCCTTATATATACCATACCGGGTACACGTTATGCTCGAGTAAGAAAAAAACTATCGAGCGTAACCAGGTAAATTGTGTATCAACAAAATATAGCAGACGATTAATAAAGCTGACGGGGCAGTATAGCAGACGACTAATATTTACAGCAGACGATGTTTTCTAAATAAAATAAATGAAATTATTTTAATATTAAAATAATTTGTATTATTTAAATATTCGAAAATGAAACACAAACACAATATCAAATTACTAATAATTCTTTTAATAAGTCTACGTGAAAAGAAACTTAATCACATATACACAGATGAAAAACTTTTGAATTATACGAAAAACTATTGGTTGGATAATTTGGCCGCTCGAGACAAGACAGATTTGACCATGTCGAGTCTTGTGAGAAAAAATTCCGACGACCGAAGGGAGGCAGTATTTTCTACAAACTGTACACAACTGTACACAACTCGACAAAAACTGTACGCAACTGTACACAAATAAAAATTGCGTAATTGACTTCATTTTTAACATTTCTATTGTTTTTTGTACTTCTAATATTAACGGCAACCTACATGTATATACCACTGGTAACATACTACCGCAAGCATCGGTACCATTAACGACGAACAATAAAACCACTCACCAATGATTAGACCAAGAGATGAATGGTTCCACAATCCGAGTTAATGTTAAACAGCAACAGCAAAGGCTGTACAATGCAAGGCAAGGCAATGCAAGGCAATAAAGCAAGGCTAGTTAGGAATTGCCGAGTACTAAGGGCAAAACCTATTAACGAGTCAACACAATTACTGTTAGACCGTATAATAATTAGAAAGTACCGTGTGAGCATTTAAAATTTAACCTACAAGGTCAAGGTTCCTATCTTTAGGCGATTAGACCAGCCCAAAAACAAGGTGACCCTAACCAGCTAAAATATTCGAAAAACATGAATTGCGAATACATTAAATTGCGAGGCCTGCCTACCCCTCAATCGACAGAATTTTTTCCGCCACAATGAATTCAACGAATTTATCACCCAAAAATTCCATTATAGATTTTTTAGCATAGCATCTCTTAAATAGTCAAGATAGAACTCTAGACCAACTAAATTTAAATGGACACCGTCCTCACGATAAAACGCCGTTTCAATGTCAATATCTGGTTTGACAATATCAAACTTACTTAAGGAACTAACTATGTGTCGACCTAAACGATTTACTCTTTTACGTTTAAGATTCATAGACTTGTTATCAAATTTCCCCCACACTCTTCTGGGTAAAATATCAATCCAAATAATGCAAGCGGACGGAAATGCGTCGTGAAGGTAAGATACTTCATCCTGTATTGTCCCTTTAATATCATAGGCATGAGAGTGAACTAAATCATTACCACCTAAATGAATAAGTATTAACGATGGAGCAGGTGATAGGAGAACCTTAGCTTCAATTTCCCGTCTTAGTGTGGACCATCGCAGACCTCGAACCCCTAGCCATGCAATTGTTTGTCCTGGTAGTCTCAAATTTTTCTTCCCAGTTTGTATTGCATGATTGCCTGCCCAGTACGGGATCGAGTCCCCGATGACCCAGATGTCTAAATATAGAATAAACATGTCATGAAATCAAAATACAAACTGCCCGAAATAGCTTATGAAAAGTTATTTTTTTATCAAATGATATATATATATATATATATATTTATCTAATGTACAATTTGTAACAATCGCTATTCCATCTACCGGCTTTCATTATAGCTTTTGCAGGAACGCCCATAATGGCGAGATCAGTAGCTCTGCCAATTCTAAAACTATGAGTTTTGTGACAACATCCAAATGACAAGCGGGCTCTTAAAACGCATTTCGACAAAACTGCTGAAAATTGAGTTCTCGTTACTGGTGAACTATCGTTATGAATGAATAGAGGGCCCTGTGTTTTAGGTCGCATAGAAAGGAAATTAGATAAGGCATTTACTGGACATAAATTGTCCATTTCTTTAGGCAATTTTAGATATACCGGAACACCGGTTTTATTATTTTTTGAATGACGGAGACAAATAAGCACCTTGCTATTATCTATAATTGATATGTCCGAATTCCATAGTACTTTTGGAACGACCAGCTCACTTATGCGAAATAAACCAAAATATGCGAATATAAATAATGTGGTAAATAATCTAGTCTCGTAAGCATTGTAGCAACATAATGGTAACATGTCACATAAAATTTTCAAAACCTGTTTTGTTATCGGAGCCCGATTATCATGTGATTTACGAGATTTTTTGCAACCTTCAAGCAGTTTGCTAACCATGAATATTTTTGATATATCGTAAAATTCAGAAAGTTTATGAAAATAATTCAAGCCGGCAACATATGTGGTTATAGTTTTTGAAGCCATGCCCCTCTCAAAACAATACAAAATAAAAAAGACAATATTCTGAATTGAAATTGGCCATTGTAATGACAGATTATATTCGGATAGAATATCCGAAAAGCGTTCAACGCTGTATCGTATGTTTATCTAGTATTTGGCGCTAATCCACCTTGTAACAATGTTCGAGCTCTAAATCGAAGACGCTCCAGAGGAATTCTGGGACTGGGTGAGGTTGCTGATCTGCTTCCGGAGCTAATTCTCTGATTTTTTTCAACTGAAAACGTGACAATGCATCACAAATTACATTATAACGACCTGGGACATGAACTGCTTTCAATAAAATATTAAGTTTCATACAATGCAATACAAGAAGTCTTACAAGACACATTACTGTTTCAGACCTAGACGAAGCCTTATTCAAAATGTCTACCACTGCCATGTTATCGCAGTTAAATCTTATTTTTTATTTTTATCAATTTAGAACCAAAAATAAATATTGCCACAACAATTGGAATAACTCCAAAACAGTGATATCGGCCGTAAGACCGCGTGAGTGCCAATCGTCTGGCCATTTCCCTTGGCACCAATGACCTTGAAAGTAAATTCCGAAACCACAATTGACACCACCCGCGCTGTCCGAAAATAATTCTACATCTTCGTTTGAAACCCAAAATTTGTCATGAAACACAGACACGCCATTATATTTCTTTAAAAATATAAGCCATATGTTCAAGTCCCGTCGAACCTCTTTCTTTAATCGTACGCGGTGATACGACTTTGTTAGCCCACAAATTGAATTAATTAAACGTCTAATGAAAGGGCGACCAATAACAATAGCTCTACAACAAAAATGGAGTGAACCAATTAAAGATTGTAATTTTTTAAGAGTTGATTTCGAGTGTGATAACACCTCAAAAATTTTTTCTTTGATCTCCTCTATTTTTTCTGACGGAATTCTGATTGTCATTTGGTTTGTGTCAAGCTCTAAACCTAAAAAGACTAAAACTTCAGTCGGGCCTTCAGTTTTTTCCGATGCTAAAGGCACTCCAAGCTCTGTCATTGTGTTATGAAAGATATTTAACGCCTGATTGCATGATTCTGACGTTTTGTCACCCCCCAAAAAATCATCTAAATAATGTATCAATTTAGCTGACGTAAATTTCGATTTCACACTATATTCTAAAAATCTTGAAAATCGTTCAAAAGTAATACAGCTGACTGAAGCACCGAAAGGGAGCACCTTGTCAAAATAATATTTATTATCAAAACAAAAACTAAGTAGCTCAAAATCATTCGGGGAAATTGGTATTAAACGGTATGCGCTCTTGATATCTGATTTAAACAATTTGCAATGTTGACCTAATTCTTGAATCGTTTTAACTGCTTCATCAAAACTTGTGTATTGTACTGAACATAAACTTGGATCAATGAAGTCAGTAACAGATTTACCGGAGGGATATGATAAATGATGGATCATCCTGAATTCCCCCGGTGTTTTCTTTGGTACTAAACCGATCGGCGACACAATTAAATTTGGAAGAGGGCGTTCGTCGAAAGGGCCAGCAACTCTACCTGCATTTCTCTCTTTTTCTATTTGCTCTTTAATTAAATCAGGCCTTAATAGAGATGACCGTAAATTTTTTGACTCACGTGCAACACGTGGCCCTGTGTATTGAATTGGAAAGCCATTGATAAAAACGTCTAATAAGAATTTTGCTTCTTTCTCATTATATCCTTTTAAATAGAGCTTTAAAGCCTCAACGTTTACAGGAGATTTTGCCAAAGCGAATGAGTTAACATTAGTGTCAGAAAATGAAATGACCGGACTTTTATTTATTTTACTTTTTGTAATAGCCCCGTCCACTTTTAGCCCGTTGTGGCTGAAAATGTCTGCTCCGAGAGTTTTGAAATGACGACTGAGATTGACCGCTCGTCAAGCTTTGTTTTGTTTGAAGAATTTGAAGTTTGACAGTTGATTGCTGGGTGGGGAGCAAAACACGTGGCACAAACATGGGAAAAACGGCAATTCGGCCAAGAACATTTTCCCGCATTAAAGTCATTACACGTAAACCTGTAAGGATTAGATTGGTCACGTAAAACTGGTCTGACTTGTACACAGCGCCACCATAACTCATTGTTTATTTTCGACCATGATTGAGGAGCAATAGCCTGTCTTAGACGAAATTGCTCGTCGTAAGTCCTCCATGAAAGACCACCCTGGCGCGAGGCACAATCTCTGATATTAAACATTTAATGCAAAATTTCATAGATTTTGTCAGCGTGTGATGATAAATAAATGGACGCATATATAATAAATGCGTTTGTCCATTTCTCAATGCAATTGATCTGCTCTTTACATTCTTTTTGAGCGGATTCTATGTGACCTTCACTATCTAACTTAAACACCGTCCCTTTACAAAATTCTGAAAGCTCGACTGCCCCTTTCAATAATAACATCAAATTTACATATTCACCTCTACAAATTTTTTGTTTAAGAGATGTTGGCACGTGCGCCGCCAAATCATCATCGGCTAAACGTATTCCAGGCAAAACATTTAAAATATCGTTGGAATGATTTGCAGTAGAACTATCTAAACCCACAGATTGTAACATATTGCCACACCCCGTAGAAACATTATTTGCAGCAGAACCAACGTTATCGGTCAAATTTTGTGGAATAATATTCGAAGCCCTTATTATCTGCTCAAAATCTACTACGTTTGACTCACCAGCGTTCGTTTGCGACACCCTCTCGTCAACAAAATCTTCCAACGGGACCTCTGCCGTTCGTTTCCTCCCTCTGTTTGAAGGTTGTTGGCTCCTTGTTGCGCTACTTGCTGGCTCGGGCTGCCTGGCGGTGTTGTTCCGCGACAGTCTTTGTGGACGTACGCATCCGCGGCCACGTGGCATAATTTGGCAATGTAGATAGCAGATAAATGTTTTAAACCAGTCAATCTGTACTGCAGACGTGTAAAGAGTGAGTTTCTGCACGGGTTTTGCCTTATATATACCATACCGGGTACACGTTATGCTCGAGTAAGAAAAAACTATCGAGCGTAACCAGGTAAATTGTGTATCAACAAAATATAGCAGACGATTAATAAAGCTGACGGGGCAGTATAGCAGACGACTAATATTTACAGCAGACGATGTTTTCTAAATAAAATAAATGAAATTATTTTAATATTAAAATAATTTGTATTATTTTTCTCAAGTGTTATACTGGGAACAATTGTCCTTTCTGTGTTTATTTTGTATATATGTGTGTGTGTGTCTGTAACTGTTTATGTATGTATGAATGATTTATTGATTTGTTTGTGCTTTGTTCACATTACCTTCCTTGAAGCATGTATTTTTTCTTTTTCAAATATACGTTTTAGATGAATTCAAGTAGCCTAAATATCCTATCTTTGAATTGTAGAGGTCTTAACGGTTCAAAAAAGAGAATTGAGTTATTTAGATTTTTGAAGCAGAAAAATTGCAGTATTTACTGTCTACAAGATACACACTTAACGTTAAATATGAATAAAAATATATACTGTGAATGGAATAGTGAATGTTTCCTGAGCCAAGGGACATCCAATTCACGGGGAGTTGCAATTCTTTTTAATAAAAATATTGAATATAATATTCATAGCAAACATATTGATAACAAAGGAAACTTTATTGTTTTAGATTTAACAATTGAAGAAAAAAGATTAACCCTTATAAATCTTTACGGTCCAAATACAGATCAACCAATTTTTTACAGTGAACTGTTTGATATCATTGACAAAATAGGAACGATTCTTATATTTTGTGTGGAGATTTTAACTTAGTTCTAGATCCTGAAAAGATTATTACAACTATAAATTTGTAAATAATAATAAAGCAAGAAATTTTATATTACAAAATATTGATCACCGTAATCTTTTTGACTCATTCAGAGATTTTTTTCCAAATCTGAACAGATACACATGGCGTAAACCGACTCCACTCCAACAAGCACGACATGATTTTTTCAACTGAAACAATTTTTCCTCGTGTAGAAAATATTAATATTGAGACAAGCTATCACTCAGATTATTCAATTGTTATAATAAAGATAAAGTTTAATGATTTTATACACGCAAAAAGTATTTGGAAACATAATAGTTCCCTTTTAAAAGATCTAGATTATTTGAATAAAATACAGACAAAAATAGTTGGTATTAAACAACAGTATGCTTTACCTATATGTAACATTGAAAATATATCGGAAAAACCAAATAATGAAATTCAGCTTACGACAAACGATCAGTTGTTTTTAGAAACTCTTTTAATGGAACTGAGAGGGACAGCTATATCTTACTGCAGTTATCTAAAGAAACAAATGATGAAAAAAGTATAATAAATGAAACACATGCTATTGAATCAAACTTGTAAGACGATAAACGTAACCGATTTCAAAAATTGCAAAATAAAAGGATCTTAATATTCAGCTTCAAGGTTATCTTATAAGGTCAAGAGCAAAATGGACGTTAGAATGAGGAAAACCTCCAACATTTTGTTTTTACGGTTAAGTAAAACATAGTCACATAACTAAGACTATATATAAGATTAAAAAAGAAGACGGTAATATTCTAAATGATCAAAAGTTAATTTTAAAAGAAAGTGATTTTTTATAGAAATCTTTTCAGCAAAATGTCATATGATGCAAATGATTAATTTTTACAATTTGTGGAAAATATAGATGCACCGGTTTTAAGTGAATCGGAATCCAATGTATTAGAAGGCTATATAAATTATGAAGAAGCTAGTAAAGTTTTACAAAATATGGCAAAAATAAAAGCCCGTAGACATCAGGCTTTAGTGCAGATTTTTATAAGGTATTCTGGAAAGATTTAGGTCCTTTTGGTGGTAAGAGCTATCAATGATGCTTATACTTCAAATAAATTGTCAGTGACCCAAACACAAGGTGTAATAACATGTATTCCAAAAGAAAATAAACCTAAACAATTCGTGAAAAATTGGAGACCTATAACACTTCTAAATACCGTATACAAAATTGCTGCAGGTTGCATAGCGAATCGAATAAAACTTACTCTAGATAAACTAATAAATAAAGATCAAACAGGTTTCATCAAAGGAAGATATATTGGAGAAAATACCCGTCTTATCTATGATATCATGCAGTATACTGAAGAAAATAACATTCCTGGACTTTTCCTTTTAATAGATTTTGAAAAAGCTTTTGATTCACACTCTTGGTCATTTGTACAGAATACTCTGTCTTTTTTAACTTTGGTCCGTCTATAAAAAAATGGTTTGATATTTTATATAAGGATGCAACTTCTGCTGTTAATCAATGTGGGTTTTTATCAAATTTTGTAAAAATAGGTAGAGGCTGCCGACAAGGAGATCCTCTTTCATGTTATATTTTTATATTATGTGCTGAAGTTCTAGCTTTAAAAATAAGAAATGATAAGATTATTAAAGGAATAAACATTAACAATGTAGAACATAAATTGTCACAATTTGCAGATGACACAACAATGATTTTAGATGGATCAAGTGCGTCTTTAAATAAATCTTTGGAAATCTTGTCAGATTTTGCACAACTATCGGGACTTAATGTTAATTTTGATAAAACTAAGGTTGTGTGGATAGGAAAAATGAAATATTCTCAAAACAGTATAAAAACAAGATGGAAATTGTCTTGGAATCAACATCAATTTAAAATGTTAGGCATAAATTTTCATGTTGACTTAAGTAAAATAATAGATTTAAACTATAGCGAAAGAATAGAAAATATCCGAAAGGTTATTCAAAATTGGAAAAGAAGAATTCCCACACCAATAGGTAAAATTGCTGTCATTAAATCTTTTTTGATTTCATCTCTTAATCATTTATTCATTTCACTACCAAACCCATCTGAAAATGTAATCAGTGTATTAAATAAAATGTTTTATGACTTTATTTGGCAAGGAAATGTAAAAATTAAGTCTTCCGTTATTGTAAAAAACTATGATGAGGGCGGCTTGCAGATGATAAATATTTCTGCCTTTATCATGTCATTAAAAATAACATGGTTTAAAAGAATAATCTCAAATGCTAGTTGGAAAAGTATTCTTTACGACAAAATAGATATGCAAAAGTTTTTTCACTGCGGAAACCATTATTTTGATAAACTTGCAAAAGAAACAAACAATCTTTTTTGGAAGGACACTTTTACAGCTTTTTCACGCTATATTGAATTAATTCCAATCGAAAATCATTCTTTCGGAAAACATCCTTTATTTTATAACAATAACATATTAATTGGTTCAAAAAGCGTATATTTAAAATCATGGTTCGATGCTGGAGTTTGTAACATAGAACACCTTATATCTGATGGAAAGTTTTTATCTTATAATGAATTTATAAAAAGATACAATGTCCAATCTAATATCTTAATTTTCAACGGTATGATTCTATCAGTAAAGCAATTTTTAAATAAATATAATATAATCTATAACATCCAACAGAAAAGCATTGGCCCAGACATACCGCTATACTTTAAAGATATTATATCAGACATAAATGGAGCAAAACCTTTCTATAATATATTAAATAAAAACAAATCAAAGCCAACAAGTATCGAAAAATGGACAAATAACCTTAATTTAGCTTTTAGTGAAAACGAATGGAAAATTATATTCGAAATGCCTTTTAGAATTACAAAATGTGCTAAGTTGCAATGGTTCCAAACAAGAATTTTACACAGGATTATTGGAACCAATCATCTTTTATACAAAATTAAGTATAAAGAAAGTCCTTTATGTTCTTTTTGTAGTAATGATGTTGAAAGCATTGAGCATCTATTCTGGATGTGTCCCATTGTCAAAAAATTTATAAAGGAATTTCTTAAAATAAATGAAGCACCTTTTTTATCTTTGGGTATAAAAGAAATGATGTTTGGCTATAATGCAAAGGATGATTTATCTAACGCAAAAAACTTATTTTTAGTATACTGTAAAATGTATATTTATCAGTGTAAAATGCTTGATCTTTCTTTATCAATGATTGCAGCCAAAAACTTTATAACACAAAAGCTCAAGACTGATAAAGAGGTAGCAATCATAAATAATAGATTACCGAAATTTGAAAATGTTTGGAGTCTTTTTAGAAAATTTATTTTTATATTTTAAGAAAGAAAAATGTCAGCTGAGAAAATATTATTTCTACACTGAAAAGTACTGTTTTTGAGTTTAAGTAATTAAGAAATAATTCAAGCCAAAATAGCATGCTATAGATTTTATATACTGTTGATGCTTTTGAAACTATTTCTTAAAAAAATACGGTTATGAGTGCGAGTATGAATGCATGTGTCGTCCCTGTCTCTTTGTGTTTTTTGTTGTTGTTGTTGTTATTTTGTGTGTGTGTGTGTGTGTGTGCGTGTGTGTGTGTGTGTGCGTGTGTGTGTGTGTGTGTGTGTGTTTTCTTTTTGATTTTCTTTTTGTAATTGTTGTTTTTTTTTCTTTCATTACATTGGTTCCACATCTGGTATAACCGTTCATATGCATGAAAACAAATAATTGTAAAACCACTGTGGGATGTGCTTCGACCCACAAATGGTTATATGACGAAGCGAATAAATGGGGCTACCCCATGTGGGGCCTGAAAAAAAAAAAAAAAAAAAAAAAAAAAAAATTTGATTAGTTTTGATTATGATTACTTTCAGATAACACCAGGGCAAATTGGAAACTTAATTAGCCACTGAATATACTTGTTCACTTAAAAACATACATTTGATAAAATTCTTGGGGTTTGCTGCACTTTCAGTGCTTTTTTTGCTGTAAAATGACAATACGCAACTTTTTCTTATCTTAATACAGATTTAGATGAATGTGATTATGATCCATGTGGTGGAGTAGGCTATGGGTGTGAAAACACCCATGGGAGTTTCAGCTGCTATTGTCAAACTGGATATAGATTGTCTAACCCTACAACATGTGTTGGTAAATAAAATTTATTTATTTCTATCTTTATAATAGAGAATATATATATATATATATATATATATATATATATATATATATATATATATATATATATATATATATTCTGTTATCCCCTTGCACTGTAGATATTGTTAGATTTTATCAAGCTGTTGATTGCATACTGATTGTACCATCAATGCACAAAATAATTATTAACCTTTGGTAAGGTGTATGAGATGTACGCAGTAAGGTGTTCAAATTTAATTTGTGTCTGTGAATTAATTTTACTGAGCATTATAGCATAATAGGGTAAAATACAAGTTTGTAATTTCTACACATGTTGTAAGATCAAGACTGCGTAGGTCCATGTTATATCTTATTTTTGTTTTCAATGTTATTGAAGCTATGATCGTTTTTATGTTGTTGTTTTGTTTCAAAGAATTCATATTTAAAGTTCAACTGGATTAAAATCAATAGATGTGACGGTAAACTACAATACTAAACAAAATAAAACAGTGTTTGTGAGTTTCTTTACATGTTGCACTTGGATATTCCATCAAAAGTAAAAAAGAGAGAAAAATCAAAGACAACACTGAGTGAAGGGCCCATTAAACTACATACCCATCTAATGTCAGGGATCATGTAACTGACTGAGCTATTGCAGATGTGATACAACCTATCAATTAAGCATATGTTACTTTCAAAAAATTAGTTATATTCCATATTAATTCTCATAAATTACACGGGCAGAACCGAAGTGAGATCCAAAATTTAAATGAGTTCCATAATGAATTTAATATTGACAGGACAAAAAAATTGCATTATGTTGTGCATTTACTCATGATAAATATGCATAATGCCTCAGTGGTCAACATCCTATAGGGGTGCTAAATAGCAGATACTATTACTGTTACAGCGCTCAGAATGATAAATTAAGTCTTAATGGTTATCTTAACATTTACGAAAGAGCATGAAGAACCTTTCAGCTGTATATAACAATATTTGCTTTAAAACTTCATTGTCAATGTACTTTTCACCCCTGTCCCATGAAAAGAACACAAATCTCACGAAAAGCAGTAATATAAATACTCTCAAAATTATTTTAGTTATCAGCACAATATATTTTCAGATATTGATGAATGTAGTGAAGGTTCTCGTTGCTGCTTTGGTCCGACAAATTATTGTACCAATAAAAATGGAGGCTTTGACTGTGGTTGTTCTGAAGAAGATGGCTATAAATTAGCTGATGAGGGTTGTACATGTATAGGCAAGTCATGAAATAAATTTCATAGCAAGGCTAGAACATATATAATGCTAAACAAGGAAATGATCTTTTACTCTTAACAAGACTGAATATATTTCATTTTATTTTGTTATTCTGTAAATTCAATACTAAATTCTCTCCCTAACCCATTACCAGATATACATGCCTTTTTCTACCACCCCCCCCCCCTTTTGTTGTCCCAAATGGTCAAAAAAAATGCCTTATTTATGCCCCAAACACTTGTTTTTGTTTGAGAAATGTTGTTTTAAAAAGTGACCACTTTTTTGACACTGCCCCTTATCCAAAAGCTACATCAGGGGGTTGTAATTGGTTAAGTGATATATTCGAATATAACTATTTATAATTATAATACAGATTTAGATGAATGTGATTATGATCCATGTGGTGGAGTAGGCTATGGGTGTGAAAACACCCATGGAAGTTTCAGCTGCTATTGTCAAACTGGATATAGATTGTCTAACCCTACAACATGTGTTGGTAAATACATTTATTAATTTCCAGCCAATAAAATCATAATCAATGAACTTTCAGCATTTGGACCATTTCCAGATTACAAAACATCCACATCAAATCAATATCACATCCCATATTGCCTTGTTTTCATTTTCAGAGTCCAATATATCTATATCAAATTCATATTGCACCACATATAACCTTGTTTTCATTTTCAGAGTCCAAAATATCTATATCAAATGCATATCATACTACATCTAGCCTCATTTCAATTTTCAGGGTCAAAAGTTAATATCAATTCCTTATAGTATCTTAAGTCAAAATGTCAAAAGACAGAAAATAAAGAGGTCATTTAAATTGTGATAATAAACCTATGATTAATTCTATATTATCTTTTCCTATGCCAAAATATCATCTGGAAGATCTTGGTAACAACATTAATTATGTCAAAGTTAATAATACATAAGGGGGCGCCACCCTTACCATCTACATTAATAATTAATAAAACTCTAACAAAAAGCATATTAATCTAAATATTGCGAATAATTCTAGTTATCAGCACAATAAATGTTATTTCAGATATTGATGAATGCAGTGAAGGTTCTCATTGCTGCTCTGGTCCGACACATACTTGTAGCGATTCTGACGGAGGCTACTCCTGTGGTTGTTCTGGAGATGGCTATTCTTTAGATGATGATGGGTGTACATGTGTAGGCAAGTCTTTAAATGAAATTTATATCAGAGCTAAAAAATATGTTGTTAAACGAAAAATGATATTTCTCCCCTGAGTTAAGGAGGCAATGAAAAAAACAACATTAAACCTATGAAAATATAGTCACAGTTACATTGAGTCTGTTCATAAGAGGTTAATATGCCACATTTCTTTCACCCTCTAGCATTATAAAAGGCACATTATGCTTCAAAAACTCTACGGAGTAGAGGCGACATAGAGGGATTGCATCTCCGTTGTCTGACTGTCTGTCGACCTGTTTGCCATCACAAAACTCCGGACTACCCAAAAATTACTACTGCAATTTCATCCAAACTTAAACAGGAATGATCAGTACCAAGTCTAGTTGTGCATATTGTGAGCATTTTCTGGTTCAATGATTTTTGTCTGAGTTATGGCCCTTTGATAATTTTAATCTTTAAAGTGTGTTCTGTCTAGTCCTCTTATACCACAAATACAATTTCAATGAAACTTTACAGGATTGATTGGTAGGTCAAGTTCTTGTTCATATTACACAGGCTTTTTAGTTGCATGATTTTTTGCTATCATAGTTATGGCTATCATGAGGCGACACATGTGATCACTGATCTCTCTTGTTTTGTTGTTTGGTTTTTTTTGTATTGATTTTTTAGGCTTCAATGTTTCTTTTTTTATTGAAATGCCGATGAAATAAAGGAAAATTGATCCCTGTAAAAGAAATTTTTAAATCCTGATTATTATTCTACATCTAGAAAATATTTACTCCTTTTCTGTAAAATACTGATTACCTCTGAAGAAAAATGACCCCCTTAAGAAACTTGTAGAATATTTACCCCATCTAATCAATCTTTAACTGATTATATATTACTGAAAGCTGAAATTGTTGTCACATCATTAGAAGTAAATGCTCTTGGACTTAAAATTAATGTGACATTGACTTCTCTATCCTTTTAGAAGTCAGCTTTTTGCAGACTGAAACATTTACTTTTACATATTTTCAACTGGCTTTATTGTTTGATTGAAACTGTACATGAGAGATGATGAAAAGGTACAACATATCTAATACACACTATCTCCTATGTTGTTAAAGATGTTTTCAATCACAAACAATTGAAAGTATTGGAATCAGTGATCCCAAAATAAACAAAAAAATACAACACTTAAATGGAGTTGTTTACAGTTGTCAAATTTCATTAATGACATAAGGTGGCAATTCATTCTTACTATGATAGAGAGGCAAAACATTGTCATTGTAAAATAATACACAGAATGGCATTTCTGAGTTTATTTTAGCGCAATCATGATGAAAGCTTGATCCTTACCACTACTGTGTATTAAACGTCTGTTTCCAGGAACTTACATTTTGTCATATATGAAAAAACAAATTTGTGACTAAAGAAAGGCTCAAACCCACTTTAACAGGTTTTAGAAATAGACACCTACCTAAACAAGTCCCCTGGAAATAATGACATGGATTAAAAATTTAAGATATAAGTTTCCCTCTCCTGACAAATATACATGTACAACCCTATGTCTATCAATTAATTACCAACCTTTAAACTATGTAACTACAGACAGATGCATTAGAAGTATAACAAGTTATGTTTTCCTCTACTTAATTCACAGTCCATACCAAATAAGAAAAAAGTTTTGTCCACTTACAGTTGATGCATGGTAAAAATAATCATAACATTTATGTTTAATCATGATTAAATTCGAAAAAGTTTGATTTTATACATTTTTTAGGAAATCATCATAAGCTTCACCAGTATATTAGAATTATAAAAAAGACTACTGACTATGGGGACATTATTTAAAAGGGGTCACAATTCTTTACGCTTTTACTACTCTGTAAGTGTGAGTGTGTGTGCGTGCGTGCATGTGTGCACAAGCGCGCATGTGTGTGTCTGACTGTGAATGTGTGCGCCTGCATGTGTGTTTAAAAAGGAACATGTTTAACAAATTTTGATATTTTGAATTTTAGACATTAATGAATGTCAGAACTCTGATTGTGAGCAATACTGTGTGAATACAGAAGGTTCCTACAAGTGTTACTGCGATGATGGTTATGTAAAATCTTCATTTACTGACTGTGACGGTACGTACAGTTTTTGGAATATAAATGTCAGGTGCTAACCATTAAAAATCTGTGATGCATTAAACATGAACTATCTTAACACATATGCTGCAGAATGGATGCAACAAAACTGTTCATAATTCAAAATATGTGTTATTTCAGTCAAATGTTACAAAAAGCTTTAACCTTTAAATGCTCATAAAATGAGTTATAATGTTTCTACAACATGTCCTTCAACAAGATCTACAAATAGAAACACTCCTATGTTGGATGTTCAAATTTCTTATTTGCACATGCCTCAATTAATGAGAGCTTTAACCTTGTTTGAGGTCACTAGATCAATGTAACAGTGACCTTGTGTCATCTTACAGTGGCATTGTATCTCTTGTTGGTACATTAATCTTAATCTTATCTGTTGTGTTTAGTGCTCTTCTATAATTATGAGAATGTACATGTTTTATTTGTTGATGATACTTAAATACTGCAAGTTTGTTAATAAAATTATGTTAACTATATACACTGCTGCTGTTAACTTATAAAGTCATTTTTTTAATGACGGAAGTTTACTGAATTATGAATTTGTTATTAAAAGGTTCTATGGCTGTATTATTAACAGTTGTTTGCAATATAGCCTGCCAAAAATCTTTATATATTTGAATACACCATTTATTATGATTTCAATAATTCTAGCTGCACACCATATACAAATTTCGATTCTTTAAAGTGGTGAAAACCACAGGTAACTTTACTTAATGGTGTGAAAGATTATAAATATTAGGTAGCCCATTTACAATTATAAAGTCATGCTCTTTAGAACCACAATAAGTCGAGCCATTTAGAACCACTCTTATGTTTTACAGGTAAGACATTCATTGACTATAGCGAATACTTGGTGCGGTAATACTTGAACTGCACTCATAATAACAGAGTATTTATCATAAATTTATTTCATATGTTAAGGTTATTACATTGATATAATGCATTTCACATTTGTTTTTCATTTATGTGGTTTTAGATATTTCATCAAATTTCATCAGAACTGCTTTGGTCACTTTGCAATGGTTAACCGTGTTAGACGAACGTTTTGGTTCACTATTACACGCTATTTAACCCCGATTAACAATAATTTTATCCTGGGAAAAATTTCCAAGAAAAAGTTGATATTAATTTTCAGTGACAATGTCTGCAGATCTTGTACAACACCCTCTTTCAAAGAGTTAAAATTTTTTAAACAAATTCAAAAAAAAGCCACAAAAAATTTCACTGGTAGTCGCACTTTTTTAAATCATTGTTGTAAAATTACTAAATGTTTAAAATATATATAACACGTTTAACACCAATGATATTTTATGCGTTAAATTCCCGTAATTTTATTCAATATAAAGATGTACAGTAAACCAAAAAGTATTGATGGGGCTGACTGTATAAGTAAATCTTCCTTTATTTTGGGAAACGATCTTCAACTGTACTCATTTACAATGAGTTATGTCTAGATTTGTATCAACTTTTGTTTTAAGGATAATTATTGCATATTACACTCTATGCAAATTAACACATACCAATGTTCATATTTTTTGCTAAATAGGTTACTTTCTATCTATATGAAAGCTTTGCATTAAGTTGTAAATATTTTTGTCATTTCTGGTCACATACAATATTATGCTTATTGATAGTATTAATACATTTTGTATTTTTACACATGAATATATAAAGCCAGTCTAATTTATGTTCAAAACGTGAATATTTACAGCCAGGTATCATATCTTTAACACATATGTATGATGACTTTACCAGTGTTACGAGCCAGGCGTAACGAGAAAGAAAAGCCAGCAACAAACTTGTAACAATAACAAATTTATTACAGAAAAATTATTAAAGAAAAAAAAAAATAAAATAACAAATTATATTTACAAATACCTGAAGTCCAAATAAAAATTACAAATGTCTAGTCTGATCCTGGAATGATCCTTTTTTAATAGCACAGTTAAACCAATTTTAAACCCAAGAACTTTAGAATAAAATTCCCCCAATAAAATCCCAAAATAATTAAAAATCCCAAGCCCAATAAATCACTTAATTTTCCCAAAACCCAAATTTATTGATGACTTTTAAAAATCACTGAATGATAAAAAAAAATAACTATGATTCAAATAAATTAATGAAAATTCCTTATAATATTAACTAAGAAATTTCCGAAAGGGCTATTTTTCCAATAATATAATCTAGCAACTCAAAAATAAAGATATTCCAGAAGTTTTTATCTAAATATAAGCATGGTTTCTACAACATTAAAAAACCTTCAGTAATAATGTAGTTTTATGTTCTAAAATAGGCAATGAATATTGGGAAAAACCAAATGGTCAATAAAATTATTTTAATTAATTGTTATCTAACATTCCCCCTCTTCAAGAA